GAGCTGCAACAGTCACACCAACCGCATTCATGTCCGTGGCCAGCTCCTGAAGCCGAGAGCCGCCCTTCCCCAGTGATTGGCAGTTGAAAGTCAGAAGCTTGAGCAAGGGCACGTCTGAAGAGCGCCGAGGTGTTGAAACAGTCTGTGTTCTCGTCGTAGGTCTGTCCAGATGAACAGTCCCGTCCTGACGGCGCAAGTGAAAATGTGAATCCCGTTCAAACCACCAATGCCGTCGAGCATTAATTTGGTGACGAACCTGCGCAATGTCCTGTGCAGAAAAGAAAGCAGTCAGTCGATCAGCTGTGTTGAGTAAATGTCCCCTGTACCAAGCCCAGCCTTGCAAGAAGAACAGTCGCAAAGTGCGCATAATGCTTCGTTTGACAGTGACCGGTGCACGGGAGTTCCCGTCTGTGTGACTGCGTATCTGCATCTGGACGGTCCAGGCTGAGCCCGTGCGCTCAGCCAACCCTCGCCCCAAAGATCAACTGCCGTGTGTCCATTGCATGCTCCCCTGCGGATTTGGGACCGCAGCTCCCGCACACTACTTCCTGGCAGTTTGAGTGGAGAGGGGCTTAGTAGCAGTAGCATGTGAGTGCACATGCCCGTATCAGTGCACCTGTCCCGCAGCCTGCTGTCAGTTTGTGTAGTTTTGCACGTTGTATTTGAACAAATGCTTTTGTCTCAAGTGCTTTGTTTTCTAAGTGTGCCAAGTGTGCACGGCAGTAGCGAGTTAAGGTAGCTTCGCACCTCGCGGAGTTGCTACTCGCGACGGCCTGCGCCTTTGCAGGCTTAGGGACTGAGAGCGTGCGAGTGGACTCGCGAAGCAAAAGACAGCTGCCGCTCCGTGTTTGCTCTTTTGCAAGACCGGTTTGCGGTGCTTCACAAGCAGTAGCGGTAGCGGTAGCGGTAGCATATAGTTGTAGTAGTAGTAGTAGTAGTAGTGGTGGTGGTCGTGGTGGTCGTGGTGTTTACCGTCGTAGTTGTTGTTGAGGTGGTGGTTTTCGGTCGTGGTAGTGGCAGGTGGTGGTGGTAGTAGTAGGCAGTAGGCAGAATGATCACAGCGACAATGAACAACACAGCAAACAGCCTTCTTCAGAGCTCACAGCCCGTGTAGCAAATAGAGATGACCATTGTGATTATCATCCTCAGCCCTAAACTCTAAACCCACCCACACCCTAAACTCTAAAACGCCCGAGGGCTTTAATTCACCCTCAAACCCTATTAATACACGTTGAACTCCAATCACCCTAAACCCCACCACATTCTAAACCCTTTGAACCATAATCGTGAGGCTTGGCCTCAGCGACCAGGGCCGAGACAAGGCAGCGCGCCTGATGAGCAGTCGCGGGCCTCGGCGAACTGTCGGGGTCGTGCAGACTTTGCATCTTAGGATTCAGGTTATTTAGGTTTCAGACATTCAGACGTAACTGACATGGTTTTGGGACATGGACGGTGCTGAGGCCGAAACCCTAGACCCGTTACCCGTCATTTCTCACTGTACAGTGGGTCTTGTGCTTGTTGTTCCGTGCCGTGATCAATTTTTACCTGACTCTAGAGTTAGCATCAGGACACGAAGAGAGATTGAACCGCAGAGGATTCTTGAGCCCCGAGGCTTTGAGACACTTGATGACACTTTGTAAACCCTAAACACCAAGACTTATAAGTTCGGCTAGAGATTAGGATTTAGGGTTAAACCGTTTAAAGCCTCCTACCAAATGTAGCCTGGAAACCTAAGCCTTGCATCCTGATTCCTGATAAGCTGAGGCAAAGACTCTCTGCGGCAGGTCGCCACGAGGTGACCCAAGCCCACTTTCAGACCCTAGCTGAGCTCCTCCTTACAACCCGTCAATAACGACGTCCGATACCCACTAAGCTTAAGGGTCCTGAGTTCCAGGCATAAACACTGTCTGGGCTGGAACCCTGGATTGGGATTTCACGTAGGGGTTTCTCAGGGCCCTACGAAAATCTGGGTTCTTGCTAAAGAATTTAGTTTAAATTACCAGGGGTCTATAGTAAATCATACGGTTGCCGAGTTATCGAAACTTAGCGTAGATTCCTTAACCAGAATGCAGTTATTATGGTAGATTGTACACCAAAAAGGCTTTTGTTGGCCTCGTCAGCCAGAAGCGGTTGAATCCCTATCAAACAGAAGTTGAGCTTCGAAATTGAAAACCAGCCGAACTCTACGAATCCATGAAGCAATGGCTCCAGAACTCGTCCACATGATTGGGCCAGAGACTTTTGCAGGAGTGCGATATGAAGGGACGTGAGGGTTCTTTGCGTCAGCCACTAGGATGAAATCCCTACAGCCCTACATAAGCCCATGCTCCGGGCAACCTCGTCGCGCACATCAAAAGCCCGCTGAAGCCCTGACCGGAGGCCCTTTCTCAGCCCGCACATGCAGGGCCGCAACTTGCTGCCACCTCAGTTCAGGCAAAATTGGGCTCCGCCCTGAGGACCATACAGTGTCCTCCGCAACACCCCCAAAATCCCGAGGCCATCAAGTCTGACGAAGAGCAGTCATGTAGTAGTCGTCGTAGTATTTGCCTCGGGAACACGAGCAGTTGGTACTGTACTGATGCCTGATACGCCTGGCGGTCACCATGGTTCTGACGGGTTGGTTCAGTGCTTCAACGCATTGGGGAGTCTCTATAATTTGGCCATGCGACGGAGGGAACGCCCTGAAGCCTGGGCCTTCGGCCTATATCCGAAAATCCCTACCTGCAGAACTCAAGTTCGAAGCCCCGAACAGCAAAAACCTAAGACTCTAAGACCCCGCGCCAGCAATCCTAAAAAGGCCTACAGCAGCCTAAACCCACAAAACCTTCACCCACCAGCACCCTGGCCCTAAATCTTAAACTCCTCTTGATGGAAAAAGGAGCCCCCCACAAAAACAAACTCCTCAAAAGAAGAGCCGGAGCCGCCCCGCTTGATTTTTGATGCGCTGCGCCCCAAGGCTCAATTTCCCAGAGTTCCGGGACGCTTTCCTCCGTCTTCAGGAGGCTCGCCACTTCATCTCTGCCTTTGGGTCCCTGGTTGCGACGAAGGGTCCCCTCTTTCCGTCGTGGGGTTTGGCAGGGTTGTAGGGCCTCGGGGTGTCGGCGCAAAGGGTACGTACTGCCGGTTTACGGACAGTGTAGGTTCAGGGTTGTAGAGGGTGTTGGGCTTTGGGGCTCTGCGTTTTGGGATGGGCATCTTCCGGTTTGTGGTGTTCCGGTACGGCTTTACGAGTTTGGGGTTTGGGGGTTGAGGGTTCAAGAGCTTTTAGGGGTTTGGGTTGAGGGTGTTAGAGCAGGGGCTCGGGGTTGAGCGGCTTAAGGATTTCAGGCTTGCTTCGCCGACGGGCAACTGTGACCGGCTGGGTTTGGGTTTCTGGTTTGTACAGACGAGCTTGCATCTGTGTGCGCACTGGCTATCGGGTTACATGGTTCCCCGGCAACCCAGGCACGACCTCTACCTTAGAACTTCAATTCCGGAAGCCCGTCAACCGTCAACCGGCTCCTCACATGGTAAAAGGGTCGGTCATTGTCTTATTCCCGTGCCATTAAGCAGGTACCCAGCGTGACAGGGAGCGGTTTCGGTGTTGATGCTAAGAAACTCGAAGCCAAAAACCTCCAAAGGCGCAACTCTAAAAGCCCTTCGATCCAACGCTAACAGCCTAGGCCCCCGGCCCAGCCCCCAAACCTGTCCCTTAACTTAATCCGGTAAACTTTATAACTTGTTCTAGCAACCCTAAGAGCTTCGGGGTCCGGCCCAGAACCGCCCGAATCTTTGTGTAAAACGCCGAAGCTCTTGCCCGGATGCGTCTCGCTGCTTGTGGTATCCTTCCGGGAGCCCTAATGTGCTGGAGTCTCATCTTTGGGGTTTGGTGTTCAGGGTCACGAGCATGGACAAACAAACTCCAGGAGTTGGAGGTGGTGGACAAGCCCAATGATGAAGCCATGAGGCGGAGTTGTCTGCTTCGAGTCGTTTGCCCCCGGGCTTTATGCGGCCCACTCCCCGAGGTCCTGGAGCCCCGAACCCTGAGCCACTAAGCCTGAAACCCGCAACACCGCAGTTCCGGTCCTTGATCCTTGAACCAAACCAAACTTTGCACAAAAAACCCCAAGACACTCCCAAAACCAAAACCCTAAGCTTGTAAACTGCAAGTTCCCAAAGCCTAAACCGTTCCCCTTAAATTTGTCGGTCCTCGCTCCGTCCCGAGCACGGAGCTCCTTTATCATTTCTATGATCAGGGGTTGAGGGTTGTGGATCAGGGGTTTGGGGCTTGGGGTTTCGGGCTTAGGGCTTGGGAGCAGGATGCAGGTGTTATAAAGTCTTTGATTGATTTTTGTTTGAAGGCTGCTTTGTAACGTAGAGGGCTTGGCGTCTATAGGGCTAAGACGCAAGAGCCAACAGCGCTACTACGCCCGCACTTCGGGGTTCAGGGAACTCGGAACCCGAAAACCCCGAGGTGTCCCTGAAGCTCTGCCCTGGAAGGAGGCTCTTTCAGAAGCACAGCGGCCAGCCCGATCCGAAGACAGGCGGCCAGCTTGCAGTCTGCTACTCGTAATCCGGCTCCAGGTTCCCGACCCCGAACCCCTCACCCTAAAGCCCTAAGCAAGAGCCCTCAACCTCGAACTGTCTGCCTGACCTGGACTCTCGCCGGTCTTTGGATTTGTTTCAGGTTTGACACATGGGTTTGAATCTCAGGATGTAGTTCTAGACTTGATTTTGTAGGTTTGAGGGCCTCGTTCTAATTGCTGAGGCGTCTTATCGTCATCGTCCCCACTGTCATTGAGGCTGGTGTTGTCACCATCACCATCATACTCATCACACCGCCGTTATTCTCATCATCAGTGTCATGATTGGCTTATGTGAACTTGGTAGCCCGGTCCTGCCCCTAACGAACCCCAAGGACCCTAAAAGACCCTAAAAGCAAGTGCCAAGCCCCCGGCCTGGAATGTCTGAAGAACGGCTCCGCCGTCTGAAATCTGAACCTGAATCGGAAACCCCGTCTCCTAGACTGTAGCCCCTTCCGCGGAACCCTGTTCCTTTTGACAGCTCAAGCGAACCTCTGCCCTCCCTCCTCTGTCGCTGTTGAGCCGGATGTCGGCCAGAATCTTCGACTGATGCACCTGTGGTTTTGCTGTTGGTTTAACACTCACTAAAAAGGTATTTTGAAATCTTTCTTCGAAGATTCGAGACTATGCGGATTTGTCCGACGAAAGCCACTGAAGCGACTGTCTCTTCCCTGCTCTGTCAGCTAAATTGCGTTGTTCGTCATACAGAGCATATACCCCAGAACCAAGGACCCTACGGAGCTCAGAACTATCCATAACCTTGGTAAGACAGTCCGCCAGCATGGCCTTGGAGTGGACCCACCGCATTTTGCAGTTTTCTTGTAACCGTTCACGAAGAAGCAGACACTCGAGTTGAGTACGTAGCTCGACACAGTTCGGAACAGCCGTCTTAGTAGCTACGTCGTAAGCACTCTTGCAGTCCGTCACAAGCGAGGCTTTGGGAGCTTCTTTCAAAACTTCTTCAGGGTGGGAAATATCAATTCCCGGGTTCTTAATCCATTCCCAAAACAGCCTCAACCATGACATTCTGTCAAGCGAGCCGCACAGCGCGACCACTTCAGCACTCAAAGTGCTGCGCACAACTCGGGAGATCTTCTTGCTTGCCCACGCTACTGGAACAATCACGGCCCTCTGATTCTGAAGCATACGCCAATCCGTGGCGATGACCAAAGTGCCCTGATACGAATGGTTATCCTTGGACGAAGCAAAAGAAGCATCGGAAAATGTGCAGAAGGTAAGGTGTTTCTCAGGAATCGGTACCACCATCAGGGACACAGCGTGTGACTTTGCCTCGTGAAGCACCTTATTGGCCTCCAACAAATGCTTCACCCTACCCTTAGTGACCATAGATTGGAGGAACCCCACTTTAGCCGCTATATCCGGTCTGGTGTGTACCGCTGCATATTGCAGGCTTCCATTAAGGCGACGCAACTCATGGACTTCTGAAGCATTGAGAGGATCCTCAGGTCGAAGCCTACGGTCCCTAGGAACATGAATAGGCATAATCTTTTCGAGATAAGCTGTTTGATCCATCTCAATACTTCCGTCGTCCCACTGTCGAAAACGAATCCCGGTGAACACGAACTCTCCTTCGTCGTAGGACCCAAAGCTATAAATGCCCCGCAACTGCTCAATGACCCTGCTGAAATATGCATCACCCCCGCCTATACCATCATCAACGTGGATCCCTAGAACACCGTGTACCCTAGGCTCCCCACCAGGTCCTTTAGTGACAAGACTGAACGTGCAAGGATCAAAAGGGCTCTGGATGAATCCCAGCTCTTCCAACGTTTGCTTGAGAGTCTGGAACCACAAGAAAGGAGCATCAATCCTTCCGTACGCTCCGCCTTCAAGGCGGCACTGGTCAGTGGGACCCATACCTAAAGCCTCTCGGAGTTCTTCGGGAGGTTTGATGCCCAACTTCCTGCCGTCCCCTTTGCCCTGCAAGAAAGCTGTGGAGATATCGAAATTGATGAGCTTCCACTGTCGAGAAGCCACTTGTTGCAAGATCAACTGGCGACCATCTTTCCCTAACGTTGGTGCGTCATTGGGTATATCAGACAACCCGGGGTCCTCGAAACCTAAAACCACCAACCTAGCCTTGGCCCTATGCGGTCCACCCTCCTTCTCAGGAGCCTTCCAGGTGAGGATCCACCTACATCTCATCAGCTGAGAGTCCTCAAGCGTTCCAGCTGCAACCCGACGCACCGTCCGATGATCGAGCCAGGCTTTGATTTCTTTGTTTTGGGCTTCTTTGAACAGTTGGCGCTCATGTTGATTGAGATCCCTAAGCCTAACCTCTGTGCGCTTTTTCCTTTCGGTGCTGGCTAACATCACAAAGTTTAGGGCCTGCTCGGGTGACGGGAGATCCTTGTAGTCTACGTCTGTTTCGTGAAGCCCAATCTCCCACACTTGCTCCGAACTTGGATGGATCAAGAAACATTCAGAGTCCCCGAAGAGAAGGTCATCTTCGTCCTCTGGTACAGGAACCTCTACAGGATCTACCTCCATCGGCTCTTCATGTTCTTGCTCCATCGAGACGGCAGGTGAGACTTCGGTTTCAGGCTGCTCAGCCCCTACCGCCGAAGGCGGGGTCTCACCACTGTCTACAGGAATCTCAAAACCTCCACCGGTGTCTATTTCACCTACCCCTCCTTCTACTTCACCTACAGCAGGCGGCGAGGCCCCGGCTACCGGCGGTGGCTCCGAAGCGGGCGCAACACCCTCCATCTCTACATCTTCTCTAGTGGGCAAATCGCCCTCACGAAGCAGATCTACTACACCCCTACTAGGTAGCCTATCGGGGGAGTTGTGGAGGGAACCCTGACTGTGTTGTTGCAAGACTTCCCACTCGCGAAGCGATGCCGACCTTAAGTGCTCGGGCGATGCTCGAACCAACTGGCCGCAATGCGATAGCCAAACGACCCGCTCATCACCTACGATTACCTGTGCGGGACCATGCCAGCGGCCACGTTCGCCCCGAGAGCGACTGCCTACTCGCTGCTGTCGCCAGTAGAGAACCCAACTGCCAGCAGCGAAAGTCGGAAGGTTGGCCCGTGTTTTTCGCAACAGAGCCCGGCGATACGCATTATCATTGTCTACCCGTACAAAAGCAACCCTAGCCTGTTCCCGACGCAGAAGGCTCTGTCGAAAGGCAAGACCCTCGGGAAGTGAGCTGGTGGCCAGCGCATGGCTAGCCGTCAACTCATCTGAGACAAGGCTGGCTGGAAGTCTGGACGACTTGCCAAAAACTGCTTGCTCCGGTGTGAAACCCCGCACTCGACTAAGAGAATTCTTTGCATGGACTGCGACCCTAAGACACTGCCTAAACTCTGCATCATCTGTGATTGGGGTCTCGGCATCCATACGGGACAACATCGCCTTCAGAATTTTCCCGTGAGCCTCCACTCTACCAACCTGCCAATGGCTCTCACCAGCAGCTACTTTAGCGCAAACACCGTCACGCTGCAGCCTCTCTCGCCACCACTCTCCTACATACTCACCTGCAGGATCTACGTAGAGGAGTTGACATGGTCCAGCCCATTTGTTCCAGCTGTCGGTGAGAACTTCGTACTGGTCTTCCATGGTCCTACCGGTGGCCGTAGCTTGATGAAACAACGTTGCCTCATCGAGGATGTGTGTGAACATGTACTTATGTCCACTCTGCCCACTCCAATATGCTACATCCATGCCCAGTACATCCCCAAAATCGGCATCAAGGTGAATCGCTGCAGGCCTCGCAGGCTTGGGACCAGACACGGACTCTAGACACGTACTACAGGACAAATCTTTGGCTCCCTGAATAATGCGAGGATCCGCCTTCCGCTCTGTCAAAAACTTAACCATAGTGCCTGTGTCTGGGTGTCCCAGGTTTTGGTGGAGCCTCCCTAATTCCCTCTTCTCCTGCTCACTTAGTCTTAAGTACCCCGGCCCATGCCTAGGTATCATGACTGGAGGATGCCCTTGTAGAAGTTCCGAAGGAATGGGAGGAGAACTTACACCCCTTGAAGACACTGGTGGACTGGCGCTGTGACACGGACGACCCTCGGCTGCTGCTCCCGGCTCAAAAGACTCCATGTTCTGTTCACTGGGGGGTATATCGGACGCTACATGGGGGCGCATCTCGGATGCTAGTTGGGGGCGCTCGGGTGCTGATTGGGGCCGCTGACCGAGAAATTCTGAGCCGTAAGCCGTCAGACTGACTCTCGCAGGTATTCCCCGACGCCAACGTTTGTACTTAGGATTCTTTGTCCACTGCTCGCAACCACCATCTGCCATCACCTTACCATTGTCCCTAGAAACCACTATGGTTTGGCGAAGGGGAATATCCTGTATCTCGAGACCAGGTTTTGGCAGCTGAACACGGTTGGTGCCACGAGCCATCACCACGTGCTTGATTTGAAATTGCGGGATCAGTGTTTGAACCTGTTTTACAACCTCATCCCCATCCCTGAAGTACACCCTGCCACGGTGAGGAACATCAAACTTCTTAAAGATAGCTATCCACGAGGCATCCTTGAACTGATCCCGAGCCTTGCACATTTCCGGTGCCGGTTGCTTCCGAAGAAGCCGTCGGCGCTTCACAACTTGCTGAACATTTTCAAGCGCGGCACGATTACTCAAGTTGAGGTCCCCTTCACGCTTAAGGTCTGCTACTAGTAACTCAGACAGGTACAAAGGAACACTACGGTCAGAGATCATTGCTGCTGCTGCTTGCTCAGCCAGTCGGAGCTGCCATGTCGGGCTTCGTGGTGCAGACGTGTTGCTTGTTGCTTGGCTGGGGTTGGAAAGGTGAGTCGGCTCCTTACGTGTGTCGATTGCCTCATGTACCACTCTGGAAGTCGTATAGATAAAGCTTTTCTTGTTCAGAAAATTGTTGCCGCGCATCTTTCCCAATCCCATCGCCTCCGAAGGACAGTGAACTGCGCACATGGTGCCGTGCATCACGTCCTGCAGTTCCGGAGAGGACTCTGCAAAGATATTTTGACCAGTGCACAGATGAAAATGGCGCCCGTGTTCAATTTGATGCTCATACAGGTCGTACAATAGCTCTTTTGGCCAAAATACCTTTGAAGGATCCTGTCTCCCGCCATTCATCCAGAGGTGCTTGGGCTCGTACATATGTATCATGAACCAAATGCGACTGGCATCCCATGTTTTAATGGATACTGCACGGCCCTGGCGATTCCGAATGGCATTGCTGATTCCACTGTCCGCCAGAGTGATTTCCAGGACATCAAGCCGAGGAAGCTTGTAGTGCATCTTTTTCCGGAAGTCTTCAGTCTCACTATCAAGTTTCCCGAGCTTGTCTTCTATCTGTAAGATGCACGCATCAATCTTCTGACAAGTGGCTAAGGATTGCACGACATGATTGTCCTGTGATGCATTCACTCCTTCTCGTCCCAAGACGGATCCAACTGCTCCAGTTGCGCAAGCTCCCTTTGCAGTAGCGCCTTCCTGGTCATGATGTCGAGGCGCTGCTCCGCGGTGAGGTCGGTGCTCATCGCGGGGTTGGGATCCTGGGCATTCGCCCTCTTGCCTTTGTGATTCTCGGCCGTCGACGCTGAGCTTCCGGTCGCTCTGCCTTCGTTGAGGCACAGCTTCCATTCCCCGAACTCCTCCTCGTCCTTGAAGGTCGCGGTGTTCCGGCTCCGATTTGCGAACGCCGCCTCCTCGTCCTCTAAGGTCGCGGTGTTCTGGCTCCGATTTGGGAACGCCGCTTTCCGGGTGCCCTTCCCTTGGCGCTTCTGGTCCTCCATCTGCTCCGCCCGAGCTGCTGCCTTCAGACGGGCAAGGCAATAATTCTTGAATGAGATGGCCCAGCTGCTGGTGAGGGATTGCTTGCGCGCCATGGTCACCGCATACACCAAGTCCTCGCCGAACGCCGCTGCGAAGGTCTTGGTCTTGTGCTTCCCCGCAGTCAAGGTCATGTCGCCCCACGCGCGGAGTGTCTCCACACCCTTTGGGCGCACAAACTCCACATCGAGATAGCTTTCCAGACTGGGACGATCCAACGCAATGGCCCCGCTCTCGGGAGCCACCAACGGCTCGTCCACATCTGGGGTCGCCATCTTGCCCTGAAGCTTCAAAGCATCCTTGCGGGAGATCGGCGTGACGATGATCCACCGAGGACAAAGGTTTGGAGGCTGATGCGGTTCCGAGCTGAGCTGATTGCGGCTGTGATGGAGGCAGGGCTGTCAGGTCTGCTGGGTGGGTGCATGCTCGGTTTGGTTGCTCCTCAGCTTGGAAGCATGCTGCTGTTGTAGTGCGTAATAAAGCAGAGAGATCAACAACAGACAGACCCCGGCTATCAAAACGCATAGGAACCCTTTTACCCGGTAACTGAAGGAACCCTTTTCTAACATGAATCACCGCATCAAGCTCGCGAAGCAACTGATTAGAGATAAGCAATGGCGTGTTTCCTGGGATCACCTCAACTCGAATCCAGGACGACTCCGAGATTGGCAGAAGCAGAGCGTGTTTTGACTGAAGCGTGCCGCTGTTGCCGAATCTAAAGACAATGTCCGACGATGTCTTCCGGACACCGTTCCGGCACTCAGCGTCAAGCCCCCCGAGGATATCGCGTACCCGCTGGCTACCGACTACCGTGCGACTAGCCCCAGTATCCAAAACTCCCTCAGCCCCTGAAGTAACCACCAATGCTACCTCATCACCATCGTCATCCTGGGGCTTGCTGCTTCTCAAAACTTCGGGGCCTGCCTCTTTGGTCAAAATTTGCGGAGTGAGTCTCTGCCTGGATGTTGCCGCGGTGCATCGTCTATGTTTCCTGGCAAGCATTAACAACTTTCGTGCAAGTTCCTCTTTCCATGTCTGGCTACAATCCCCTTTAGGCACAGCAGCCATTAGACAAGGAGAGTATAAAGTATGAATTCGCTCGACTCCCCCAAGCCCTGGCACACCGATCTGTCTGGCTTCCTGGCTGTCCTCTTCTCCAATGTAGGGCTCGGACTCCGGTGGCATGGCATGGAGAATCTCTGGGAGGTTCTGGGCAAAGGTGTCCGAGGTCTCTTGGGTAAAGTGGGTTACCTCCACCTTGGCTTCATTGCCATCCTGGGCCAATCGGCGGGGACATTCCCGCTTCCAATGTCCTTTCTGATGGCAAATGCGGCACGTGGAATTGGCGATACGGTCCGCGAGAGACCGATTGCGGCCAGTGCCCCACCCCGGAAACGAAGACGACGAAGATCCTTTTCCTTTCTTCCCGAATCCCTTCGTCTTTCCACGGCCTTTGGCAGGCCAATATCCACGAGCTTTGGCTTTATCGCGGAGCCGCTGCCGAGCCTCCTGGTATGTTACATACACTGGCGCCAATTCGCTATCTTGGATGGCGTCCACGATGCTCTCCTCGAACTCGGTGATGTAGACGGCGTCCTCGTCGTTGAGGTCCATGAAGTAGCAGAGGAGGTCCTCGTCACTCGGCTCCTCCTCGGGCACGGCGCTGTAGTACACATCCTCGGCTCCGTTTTCCTCCGTGTAGTGCACGTCGTAGATCTTGTTCCGTTCCAAGCCTCGGTTTCCTGTGGCATTCTTGTTCTGAAGGTCCCCAAAAATTTTGGAACCCAACAATCTGATCGCCTTGACTGTCTCCTTGTACTTGAGGTCACCCTTGGACTCAATGACAACTCGCTTCTTGTCCTCCGGGGCAAGTTGGCTGTGGCGAAGTAACACGTAGGCTCTGATCTCCTCGATGGTCACCTTGCGCGTAAGAAGTTCTTCAAAGTAGGCGTCACTGCGAGCTAAGTAGGAATCATTGGTTTCGTCATTCTTCTGTGTCACCTGAAAAATGGCTTGCTCGAAGAAATGGAACTTTTCCTCAACAGCAGTTTTCCCCCAAGCTCCGCCGAGAGCCTCCACGATAAGCTGGACGCCCTCTTGACTCCGAAGCTTATCCGGAGCAATCCGGCTGATTTTCTGAAAAGCCGAACCCTCCACTTGGAGAGCCGCTCTCGGCCCCAGGTGCTGGATGCTATCGGCTGGCCACAACTCTTTGAGAAACTTCAAGCGCTGCGTGTAATCATCAAGGTTCGTAGTGCCCGGCACAAATTTCGGGATTTGTTGCCAAGGAAGATGGCTGACTCCTGCTGCCGAGCCGGCTGCAGTCGAACCTCCATCCCCTTCAACGGCCATGGCAACTGCTACGGGCTACCTACCTATTGGTTTCCCCTGTTTCCGTTACCTAATTCCCCCTAGATAACGACAGGCCGGGCTCCGCTACCAATGTGAACTTGGTAGCCCGGTCCTGCCCCTAACGAACCCCAAGGACCCTAAAAGACCCTAAAAGCAAGTGCCAAGCCCCCGGCCTGGAATGTCTGAAGAACGGCTCCGCCGTCTGAAATCTGAACCTGAATCGGAAACCCCGTCTCCTAGACTGCAGCCCCTTCCGCGGAACCCTGTTCCTTTTGACAGCTCAAGCGAACCTCTGCCCTCCCTCCTCTGTCGCTGTTGAGCCGGATGTCGGCCAGAATCTTCGACTGATGCACCTGTGGTTTTGCTGTTGGTTTAACAGGCTTAATCATCATCATACCCTTTTTCCTCGGTGTCCTCAGTAGCCTGATCGCGGTCACCTGTGCCAGCATCATCGGAACTGCCGTCGTCGTCATTTGCAGCGGTCGCCTTTATCGCCACCTTTTCAACGAAGGGACTCGACTGAGTGCCATTGCAAGAGCAGTGTGAAGGCCACGAGATATCCGCCAGTTCTATGGTTTCCGAGACCCTAGATCCGACTGCAAACCAAAAATCTCGTAACCTGCAAAGCCCGTGCTGCGTCAGTTCAGGTGGTTTGGGCGGCCGCCTCAGCTTTCTATCGTCGGTTCCTGTTAAGGGCTTTAGATTCAGCTTCCTGACTGGAAAACTTGCTTTCTTCTTTGCTATGTATGCTTGCCATAGTAACTTCAGCTGTTTGTTTTTTGCAAGGACTTCTGCGAGCTGGTTTTTGTACATCGATCCTTCTGAACCCTGCAGCTAATTTTTTTGGAAAACCCAGGGTTTTGGCATATGTGGCGCTATCGCTCGGTGAAATACTTGTAACTGTCCTGTGGTAGACTCACCCTGAGCTTCTGATAGAAGCAATAGACACGGAGTGGTGCCAATAAAGGCACTTGTTACCACAAGATGGGAAAGAGACATAGTAGCAAGAACATGGTACTAGGACCATCAAAATCCCGTGGCTGTCAATTGGGCAGTGATGACGAGGTTTCATGTGGTAGAAACGGAAAGCGCAGATGATATCATAGCGAAGATGAGCATTGCAACGATGGCAGGGATGAAGATGATGCTCTTGATGATGAAGGTAGCTTAGTTATCACAGCCGTTATCAACATCACCGCCATCATCTTCATCAACATCAACGTCATCAACACCAACATCACCATCATCACTATTATATTCATGGTCATCAGCACCAACATTAGAACGATCGTCGTCGTCCTCAGCACCAGCAGCATTGCCTTCAACATTGCGGTCACCACCACTAACGGCACTGGGTCGCCATACAGGGGAACTGGCACAGCATCGACAGAGGCAGCAGGTGACGCGACAGAGCTTGTGTTTCACCCAGGTCTTGGAAGAGAAGAGTACGAGGCGCATTGTTTACAGCTTCGGGATTTGAGGTGTGAGGGTTCAGGGTTTACGGGCTTCTCGGGGCATACATCAAGAAACTGTCCAGCGAGGCTTGTGATGTTGTGGTGGAAGGCTGGGGTGAGTCATGTATAAGCATGGTCACATTGCTACGGTGCAGTCTTGTGTATCAACATAGATTTGTTCACAGGTTGTCTGCATCTACAAAAAGTGTGTATATGTGGCTCCGTACACACGATGGGTATTCTTGCCTTCGGACATCAAGTAACTTTCTTCGTAATCACAGCTAGCGGCCTGTTTTTCGTGGCTCTTAATCGATGTTCTGAACTATTGTTTCCCTGGTGGTCATCCGCGGTTGGTCCTCTTCCTTGGCATCGTTCAATAGAAGATTCAGGATATCTGGCCAATTTGGCCAATGGTGCAGGGTCACAAGTTCTTGGACCCGATCGAAGGGACGTTCGCGGTCAAAGAAAGCGGAACCAGAGCGCTCCATGAATGATGCTAGAGATGCTGCAGGCAGGCATTTCATGTTGATATCGGTGATGATGGCTGAATGAATCGAGCACTCGACCAGGAACAGGCATGTTAGCAGTTAGCAAGAAGTTTTTGCACAACTCAAGGTAGTACAAACTTGTCAGTTTGATACAGTCAGAGTACAATTGACGGCACTACAGCCTGGAGCTTAAGCGGCGTAAGCAACAAGATGTGCAAGGCACTGCTCTTCCGCATGCTGACCTTCATGCTCGCGAGCGGGGAGGAATGGCTCTGAGGGTCGTAAGGTTTGTTGTTGGGGAGTTCGCTGCTGGGAGGACTCAACCTGTAAGCGTTGAATGACCTTAGAAGCCTGCTTTCTGCATTTGGGGTTCAGTGTTTGGAGTTGAGGATAGGATGTGGGACGCCAACAATACGCAAAGGCTTGGGGTTCAGGGTTCAGTTAAGGTTTAGGACTCTCAGCAGCAGGACCCTGTCTAGCTGAAGTCTTGCAACTTGACCCAAAACCCAAGTCTCACCAGCAGCGGTGCGTTTGTCCAAGCCCCCCCGGCAAGCTCTGAGCCCGGAGCCCGGAACCAGAGAAGCCTTTGAATCTCAGAACCTAAGAGCCTCAGGGTCTTAAGAACCCCCAAAAGCTCTAACAACCTCAAAAACCCAACGGAACGGCAGAACTAAAAGGCCCCCAAACCCTGAGAGCCTAAGAACCTCAAAAGCCCCGAAAAGCCTCAAGTGCCCTGAACCTCATCCTTTTGCATGTGCTGCAGGTGGACGCCGTCCCGACACAAGCAGTAGCTGTAGCCTCGGGAGCAGGGCACCGCATGGATCTTGGGAAGGTCGTTTAGGGTTTGGGGTTGATATACGATCAAGGTATGAGTAATTACAGGGGCTGGGGGTTTTGTTTCTTAGGCTTCAAGGGTTCAGTGTTGATCCTGCAGGGGTCAGGGCATAGCTTGGTGTGTAGGTTGGTTGAGCGGGGCCAGGGGCGGGGGTTTGGACCTTGTTTCTGGTGTAATTCGCAGCGCTTCAGGGTTTCAGGAGCAATCAGAGGCTCTCTCGCGACGTTGTAAAACCAATCAAGCACATCAGCAGTCAAAAGATTTTAGAAAAGTTAGAACTCATTAAGAAAAGATTAACGAAGTACTAGTTAAACCTAAGCCGGTTAATAAACCAATGGATAAAGATAGTGATGTGTATAAGAATAAGAGAAATGTTTATGTGAATAAATTGAATAAGAAGGATATTAAGTTTCCTAAGAAGGAGACAATAGAATATTATGAGATTAAATTTGACGACCAAGAGAGAGCATGTTAGACATTGTATTTTACAAAAACCATATTGTACATAAAACATTTAAAGACTTGGGAACTTATATATTAATGGCAGAAGCATCCGGATATACAAACAAACAGGAAATGATTAAAATCAATAATGACCTAACTTTGATACAAAATGAATTTATGAATACATTAACCGACAATATACCACATATTGAAAACTGTATGATGACGACTTATGTAAGGAATGGAAAACTATTTGTTGAAATTATAGACGGAAGAACAGTAGATATGATGAGAAGAGAAAAGCAACAAGACGAAGGGAACATACAATAATAATTATTCTTCACAGTAATTATTATTCTATGTAGGCGTCGCGAGCAATGCAAACCTAGCGAGGCTTCAAAAAGCGTCATTTCCGAGTTCAGGGTTATAATCTTTTGGGGATTTTTCTATCAGGGTCTTACCCCACACCTCATTTCAGGATATGGGTTATTTTATGGTTGAGGGTAGGGTTTGTTTAGGTGCTTTGGGTTTTGGATTGTGCTATGGATTGTTGTATTTATTGGTGGGTTGCTTTGTTTTCGGGATTATTGCTTTTGTGTTGGGAGGTGCTTTGTGTATCGGTGTTTTGGAAGGTTGATTTTGGGAGGCGGGTTGAGAGTTGAGGTAAAAGCGTAGGGGGGGGGGTACAGGGATGTGAGGTGTGGGGTTAGCCTCTTTGCTTCAGGTACTAGGGTTCAGGGTTTATGGGTTCCAGTCAGAGCAGGAACAGCCGCCCGGGAAAAAGGAAGAGCTCCACCATGGCCACAGCCCCCCTGGGTTCGGGATTTGGGGGTCAGTTTTTGGGGGGTTCCCTTGGTTGTTTGGGTTTCTCTCGTGGAGTTAGCTGGTGGTGGAGACACCTCTCGACAGCACGTTTGGGAGAGCGAGGCTGAGGGTTTAGAAGGGGTCTTAGTTTGGGGGAAAGGGGGTTTTGGCATAGGGCCTAGTTTGGAGCGTGCTGCTGTAATAACAGCATGAGTTTGGGGGGTTCTGGTATCCTTTTCGTCGCAGAGGCCCCAAATTATCAACCACGACCCAAAACCCCTGATATCATTGGCCCTCAGCCCTGAACCCGAAACCTCTAATCCTCAAGGCAGAGCCGGCAGAACTAGTAGGTGGCTCCCACACAACTAATACTAGAATACTAAACAGAACACTCCAGACCCATGTTCTCATTTTTGAGGCCTCGATGTTAAACTCTAAACCCATGCAAACCTTAGTTTGAGTTTCCTGCGGCCACCCTAATCTCTGAGACCCAACGAGGCTGGAGAGGAGCGAGACAAGCGATGGCGAGAGGAGTTCCTCCGTAAGAATGCCCGAAGGCCGTCCTTTCGCAGGGGCGTTTTGCACTGTGTTACGGGATGTTCTATGATGGTGGTATAGTTGTTTCGCTCTTCCGCATGTCTTTAATTTGTGAGCGTGCGGCCATTTTTCGTATTCCTGGTGCGTAGCATTTTCCATCCAGCAGTTTTCACAAGCATTCCTGTCCACGGTGTTACAACTTGTGTTTACTGGTGCAGCGCTGTGCTTGCTTGCAATTTTGTTGTGGATCGCAAACCCTAATTATCCCTAATTACAATTATTGAGCCTTGCACCCTAAACTATTGAACCCTACACCCTACACCCTAAACCCCAAACCATTATTGTGTTCTTTCAGCCTTGGGTTCGCTTCCGTCTACCACTCTGTCATAGGGTTTCATCTGCATTTGCTTAAGGCAAGTGCTTGTGCTTGGCACTTTAAAAGCCTCAGCCCGACTCGAGTCAGTGCTTTCCATCCCGACTTCGTGACAACACGGTTCGCAGCCGCGATGATGGCGGGTGTAGGGAAAAGACGAGTCAATAGAATCCAGGATCACAGCCCCCTAAACCCTAAACCCTAAACCGTGATGCAATGCAGGCTCAAGTGCCGCGAGCAGGTTAGCACCAGGGGCTATCGTTGCCTCTAGCCCGGGCCGGGGCTGTGGGTTCAGGGTGCTGGGGCCTCGGGCTTTCTTAGGGTTTCAGGGATCGGGCTTTGGGTTTTAAGAAGGTGGTTTTGAGGGGTGAGATGTTTTTCCAATGCCCTGCTTCCGACATGGAGACCCCTCTGGAGGTGGGGCCTGGGGAATCTTGCAATGCCTTCCAAACCTGGCCCTGGTAAGTCAACAAATTACTTTAGTTTAAGCTTTGTAGGGTCCGTCTTCTTCTGCTTGTGGTGATTCAGCACTGCGATTTATGTTAGTGTTATGATGGTTTACCATGTGCAGGATACTGTGTCCTCCCAGAATATCTCAACTTTCTCAAGTCGACCAAGTTTCGTAGCTGAGGGGCTTAGCATCTTCATGCCCGGTCGGGTTCCCATTGGCCGGGCCCCAGTTCAGCTCTGCAGGTGTTTGCACGGAGCCTCGGCGAGAAGGAAGAAGAAGCCACGGCGACGCCCGAGCAACTCTTCGGCATGTACGTGCTTCCGGTGGATGCGCTGCTGAAGATGACGGAGCTAAAGCCGCATGAAGAGCTGATGCTGGAAGGTGTCTTGGTGGAGTTCGACGACAGCAAGGGCAACGCCATGTTCGTGTCACATCAGTGGGCTGGTGTAGACCATCCAGATCCGGAGCTTCAACAATTCAAAGTTCTGCAAAAGGCGCTGAAGAATGCCATGTCGGGAGCTTCCGTGATCTCGGGCAACATCAGTATCGAGCTCTACACCGGACAGCAGACGTGTGTTTCCGCGAAGGACCTGTCGTCGAAGCCGCTGTTCGTATGGTATGACTTCATCTCTTGTCTCCTGGCTGCTTTTTGATTAAGTCACGGACCTGAGCAGGTAGACTCGACGCCGAATCCCAGATTGCTGTCTGTGCTGTCATACCAGAAGCTGTCCATCCATCCATCATCATCCATCTCTCCGTCTAGCATGACTATCCTTCGGCTATATGGGAGTTTCCGAAAATAGGGGACCCTGAGATATAGTACCCCAAATAGTAGGATCCTTACTATAGGGACCCAAAAAAAAGTACCCCTAATTCTCGGAAGCTCCCATATCAATCCCCCGGCCCCCATCAACATCCTTTCGCGGTCTGGCATCAGCGGTTCTCCTTCCAGAGGTCGCTCTCGGACCCAGCCCTGAGACCATCCATAAACCTTCCGAGGATCGAGCGCCTCATTGCAGGAATGTACGTAAAACATTTATAGGGCTTATTCCTGCGATTCAAGGATACATCCTGCACACTGGATCAGGTTTATACCCGTACATGTTTACATATGTAATATGTTTTATACATATATATATATATATGTATATATACTTATTTCTATATTTATATGCATACATACTGTCTCGTTTTAGGGTGACAGTTTAGGGTTTACATTCGGGTTTGTGATGACTTCAGCTTTCGTCGGGGCTTCAAACCCCAAGCTGTGTAACCGGCAAGCGAGGTCCTCAGTCCTCTTGTCGATCTGCCGATCGCCAGCTGGCGATCAGCAGCATTCCAGCCTCTCATTTCCATAACAGAGGGCTTTGTGTTTCTATTCAATGTAGCTTAGGCGAAATGGGGCTGAATATTATGACTCAAGGACTCAAGGTCAATTCCTTCATTCAGGGGTTCTTTGCGCTCTGAGTCCAGGGCGAAAAAGAGTTCAACTCTTTTTTAGCTATGGCTTCGGCACACATAATTGGACCTTGTACATATTCTAGTGTTGACGGCTGCTACCTGCTATAGCTTCCGAACGCTTCACGGCAGTAGTGGTGCTTCCAGAAATCTCATCTGCAAGTCACCTCTTTTTATCCTCACCAATCTTGGCAGCTTCACTATTGCCAAGATGGCTTCGACTGATGGCCATAGGTCACATGAACACCGCCGTCATCATCACCAGGTCATCATCAGCAAGTCATCTTCATTCTCGTTTTTGTTATCACGGTCATTGCCATTGCAATCGCCACACCCAAATTGTCGTCATCATCATCGGCATCACCGTCATCGCCATCACTGTCATCATCACTGTTGTATTTCGGTGTAGCAGCATCAAGGTTACCATCATCGCTGCTGTGCTGCGAACGTTCGCAGGACCATTCTTCGTGTTATCTTGTTATGCTTGCTTGTTAATGATGATTCTTGGATCTGTCATCGACAAGCGGATCCCCAACGTGTTAATGAGTGTCATGTGTGCTGTGCTAGCTCAAGTTCTTCTGGATGTGTGTACATTTTCTGTGTGTGTATGTATGTATGTATATATATATATATATATATGTGTGTGTGCATGCGGATTATACCGCCCATTTTGTCCAAGCTTGCTTTGCACTGTCCATGCTCCTTTTTTATGCGAGCACGACTCTGATGAGCATCAGCTATTGTTTGTTTATTACAACGTGTCTTCGGTCGGCTACTCCCCATATCAGAGTGACACTGTCGGGAAAGTATGTCACAAGGATGAAAAGTTTATTTGTTGAAAGACTGGTGACAATGTGGTGCTGATGTTGTTAATTCTTGTTGCGGTTGTTGAGGGCTTTGTGTTTGGGTTTTCAAAGCGGCCATCCTGTGAGTCGAAAAGCTGAGGCCTACGTTGACCGCTGCCAGTTTTTTACAATCCTCTGCCCGCATGTCCCGCAAGCGCAGAAGGACCCGGGGGGGCTGGTGGTTTCAGTTTACAGGCGTGAGCCCTCCCAAACCGTGAACTTGTCGATGATAGACCGGACCCCAACTCCGAAAACCTCTGCCCACACACTCTCCATATGCCGAGAATTGTGGAAGATTCCTGAAGTTATATCGGATATCAGAGTTTAGGAGATATATTCTCTCATTCCCGCTAAGCTACATGGCGCTTCTGGTTTTGAGCTACATCATTCACAACTAGCAGCAGGTGCAATATAGAGTCCTACAGACTTACCTACATTATTCCTTAGAGCTCCTCCTTAATCCTTAATTCTTTTGAAAGGAGCCCAAAACGATTTTCTAATTATTAAGGCCCCTGCATAATCCTCCTGCCCGGCGAGAGGAGATTTTGCTGAATCGCCGCAGCTGGGAAAGCCGTGGCTGGTGTAGGCCGCACCATGAGAAACCCCAAACTCCTCCATGAAGGCTTTAGAGTGTTTAGAGTTTAGGGCTTGAGCGAGCACCCGGTTGAAGAACATTCGGGGTTCGTCACATAGTAAAGGGTTCTCTTCAGGGTTGGCAAAGAGAGTGAAGGCTTGAGAATTCAGGGTCCCTGCGCCATTCTCTTCTCAGTCAGCGGCTTCGAAGAAGGCCTAAGTCGACATCAGAGTTGCATCATCTCGCAATGGCGTTGGTAGAGACTTCCGGTTATACTTCATCATCCTTTAAATTTCCGTGGTAAGCCTTCCTGTTGTAATTACGGTATGGCCAGTATATGGGCTCTAGGCCCCTTGCGTTCAAATCCTCCATCCATATAAGCTAGAAACCTCAAAGCGTCACATCCGGAGCCTTCACTCCGTCCTAAACGTTCCGCCCTGGACACTACGCCCCTAAAGCCCCCAAAAACCTGTCATCCGTTTGGCTTCTTGGCCCTGTGAAATCCAAAAAAGGCTTACAAGGCCCAGCAAAAACCATCATAAAGACCACCCAAAAGCTTACGCCCCTTGGCTCCGTCGGAACTCCGCGGCCTCCACAAGGTTGGAGCGCATGGCGCGGGAGTTGAGCACCCGCGCAGACACCGGGGTCTCCATCGAGATCCAGGGTGCCACGTACCAGGCCCTTTAGAGAAGCGGCTGCGAGGTTGAGGATTGAGGGGTTAGGGTGCTCAAGGGCTATGGTGTTTCCGTGCAAGGCACCGCAGAGGGCGGCTTTGGGAAAGCTTCTAGCAGGTGTGTCTCCGTTTCTCGGCTGGGGCCTCTCTGTTCGTCAAGACCATGGGTTTGTTTGGAGGGTTTTGGGGCGGTCGGAGCATCCCTGGCTACGCATCAATCCTCTGCCCCTCGCTTGAACACACAACTACTCTCAGTCAGACCCAGAGTCCTCCAAACAACCTGGTGATGCCCTGCCGTCCGTGCAGTTGCTGCGCCGGTCCTGATGGGCCAAAACCCGCAAGGCTCCCCCACCCTGCCCTAAATGCAGAGCTTCGGGGCTGTAGGGCCTCGTAGTGTTTAGGCTGGGCATACTGGCGCGTGCCGTAAACGCTAAACCCGCAACCCTTAAAGCTTTGGCCCAGGCGCAGGCACCTGCTTTTGGCTTCGTGCAGGCCCCGGTGGGCGAAGGGAGCTTCACGGCACCTGGGCAAGGAGTGTAGAGTTTAGATCAAAGCCGAAGCCCGAAACCCGCACCCGAAACCTCCTGAAGAGGTTTGAGACAGTCTTGTCTTGGGTGCAAAAAGGTTTCGTGGTTCAGGCTTTAGCTTTGAGTTTGGCTTGAAGACTGTAGCGTTGGGTGTTTCGGGTACAGGGCTTGGAGATTCAGACATCGGGGTGCATCAGTGGGGGTTTTGGGTTCAGTTCTGCCTTCCCCCTCGTAGTAGGAGGGAGTGGGTGCTACCATTGAAGAAGTAGACAACGAGTCCTTTGAGTAATAGAGCTCCGCCGAAGTAGCAACGGGCAACTGTTCTAAATTGTCCTCATGTTCCTAATGGTCAGCGCCGATGGCCATCATCATGATCATCATCATCATCATCATCATCATCATCGGCAGGCATCCGGATGTCGATGAAATTTTATCGTGTCCTGATTGCACTCATGATGACGGCGGCCTTGATGATGATGGTGATGTTGATGTGGATCATGACGATGATGATGATGATGTTCCTTGCTACTGGTCATGAGGCAAGCATCAACTAGTTGGCTATGACCCCAAGTTCTGAGCATGGCGGAGACTGCTGTGGAAAGCCTTGCTGTGCCCTGTCTGACCGAGGTACATAGAGACAAGACGAAGATAGCTTCGGTGTTGCAGAGAATGGTTCGGCGGAAGCTTCATTACTACGTGGTGCAGGCCCGTGTAGTTTGCATAAATTTCCTTTTCTCGCAGCTTCTCTATGCATATTTTGAAGCTAACTGGCTCAGCCCAGCATCAGCGGGATCCTCGAGACTCTAGACCTGAAGTCCCAAAGCCGAAATCCCCGCAGCGATCTGCAGGGTGATCTTCATCAGTACCGGCTGATGCTGAACCTGCAAAGGGTCCACTATCGAAATCTCGACGCCGTTCCTCTCGAGGCTGGGTCGATCCTTGAAAGGTCAAGGAGTTTAGCAAGTCGGTGATCGGTTATTAGAACAGGACCCCGGCCAAAACAACCCTAACACCATGACTCAGCCCTTGAACTTGATCCCAAAGCCTCATGACCTACTTTCTAAGTCCCCTGACCCTTTAGCTCAGAGCCAGGGAGGCTATCCAGGGCCCGGGTTTGAGGAACTCCCAGGCGGGGTGTAGGGTTTGGGAAATACGTTCATGGTCTATTTCATTGGGGAGGATTGGGCTTTAAACTGTATGGGTCTATAAACTCTACCTAGTGGAACATGACGCTAAGTTTTATCATAGCAGGTCTGAACTATGAATCCTAACAATTCTCCTCTACAATCCTTCTAGAGACCCCGAAAATGCGAAGAAGACCAGGGCCTTGTGCCGGGCTTCGTCTCAAATCTCCAAGATCCTGCGAGCTTCGCGGCCGCCAGCTTCCTGTTCCAGAATGGCTTCCGATCGGTCGAACCTTGGCTTTCGTCTCGAGGTTTAGGCTAACGCGCAGCTTAATGACCATGGTTTTTTTTGCAGGTTTTTGTGGTTTTAAGGCTCCAAGCAGGGGGTGGGGTTGGGGTGGGGTGGGGGGTGTAATGACGTCCACGTCGCCACCATCGCGATGAATATCATCAGTATGCAGGCATCATCCATCATCATCGTGCTTCGACGCACAAAACCCTGAAAAGAACAGTATTTTCATATCATCGAGACGTGCATCATCATCATCACCATCATAATCATAAAATTTCCTGTGTTCCGTCTGTCGACGAACCTTCGTCGGTTGGCAGACGCCAAGGAACAACAATAAATTTGTCAAAAAAGAGGCCGGCCGCATAATTCGTGTTCGGAAGGTTTCAGATCTCCCACTGGGGCCAGTGTTTTCGTGCTTCGGCACACAAAACCCTGGCAAGAACGGTACTTTGAAAGCATTCGAAACAAACCTTGTGGTCAACAAAGTGCACACAACCCCACAATTGCAGCGTTTTTTTGCAAATCTTACGCACCCATGGACAGTGCCAAAACCCCATTGTCATTAAGGCGCGCGTTACCTTGTGGGTTTAGGGTTTAGCGGTTCAGGGTTTAGGGTTTATCGTTTGTAGGGGGGGATATGGTTCGATAGTACAGCTTTACGGCAACCAAAAGGGGACAGCAGTTTTTCGAGCTCTATGTTGGTGGCTTTGGGCTTGGAAGGTTTAGGTAGGGGGTCAAAGGTGCTTCGGGGATGAGGGCGCTCGGCTCAAACCTTACAACCTTCGGAATCGTTCTTGTCAGGGTTTAAGTTTAGGCTCTGTTTGAGTTTCTGGGCTCTGGACAGTTTGTGTTGAGCCGAGACTTCAACCAACCCCAGAATCCGAAACACGAAAATCCAAACCGCAAGCCAGTTGCGAATAGTTGCGATGTCTTTCCGACTCTCAGCTTCGGGCTTTCGGGAGTCTGTTTGCGCGATTCCTCGCACAGACATATATGAACGATTTAGGAGTTTGAGCTTTCTTTCGGATCAGGGCTCTCGGTTTTTGGGGTGGGTTTTCAGTTTATTTAGGGTAGTTGCACAACCTGACTTTACTTTACACCCCCTTGCCCTTAACTTTTCAACCCGTCCGGGAAGTCGAATCCCACGCCCTTGAGCCCCGAACCGGAAATGCGGGGACGTTTGCCTGCCGAGGATGAGCGCACTGCCGAAGGGTGGACGCCGATTTGCTTGGCGGCCCTCGATGGCAGTCCTATGCTCATCTCTGCCTTACTGGAGCAACGTGCGGACGTCAACGATCGAATGAAGCATCCAAGTCTGATTCCAGTGTTGGGCTTGATGATTAGATCGATGGGTTGAGGGTCATCAACTTGATCTGTGAACTTGCTCTGTATTCTTTGAAACTGCTTTCGCAGCTTTAACGCTCCAGCCCAGCACCTGGAAGGCAGAGAGAGCCTGCCAGCCAGTTCGGACAAGAGACGCCCTTGCTCCACATGTGCGCCTTCCTTACGAACAACGAGGACCATGTGGAATGTAGATCTTGCAGCGTTACAGGGTTTAGGGTTTGGCCACTTATTGTAAGGCAAACTCGAAAGGACCAACAAACCGTGCTGCCGAGTAGCAGCAAGAGTGCTTAGAAACATAATAGTAATGATGATGATGATGATGATGATAGGCATGCTGGCATGCTGGCAAGGCGAATGGTAACTATGATAACTAGTAGTAGGCAACAAGCGGCCGGAAGGATATCCAAGGTGAGACTATGCATGTTCTGTACGGCTACGGATTCAGCGTTTAAGAAGTGGGCAAGGATGACTTTGGGGCAGCCCGCTATTGATTACCATAGCCCCAAGAAATCACAAATCACACCCCATGGAGGCCCTGCGTGTGCTCATCAGCAGCCGAGCTGATGTCTCCGCGAAAGATGGCTTCGGCGCATCACCCCATCACTGGGCTGCTTTCTCGAACAACGTGGAGGGTATCAAAGCCCTTTGCATGGCCGGGTGCAGCCCTACAGACGTAAACATGCTTGGCTACTCTCCCTTCCGAGTCGCTGCTTCCGTGGGCCGCGTTGACGCCCTGCGGGCGCTTCTTCCCTACACGCCAAAGGATGAGATTGACCTTGCGCTGCATGCCGCGATGCTGCAGGGAGGCGGATCGGCAGAGGTGGGACGTGTGCTCAACACAACAGGGGCCCGAAACCGGCCATCCCTAAACCCTGCATCTTGACACCATGACAAGCCTGCAAAAATCCACAAAATCAGAAGTCATGTACACCTAGTCTACACAGTCCTCAATCCTGAATCTTAAACCCAAACCCAGAACGTCAGTCCCGACATGTCATGTCCACCCTTGTAGATCACGCTCGGAAGGCTTGTGTAGCGCTCTCACAGAGCCCCTTGAAGGTCATGTCCACCTTGATAAGCTTGGGGGCTGACGTGAACCTGCAGCTGAAGATTCCCCTCTTCAGCCCCCTGGGGATCTGGTTTGGCTGCCTCAGCTTCCTGGAAGCCCAAGTGTCAGGTTTAGGGTTTCGGAGCCAGGTTGGGGGCAGGATTTGTAGCGCTTCCGGAAACTAAAAGTGGCTGGGTACATGTTGAAGAGCTTCGTTTGTCATATTCAGAAGTCGAGGTGGTTAACGATGGTTTGTAAGCTCTCTTGCAAGGCTTAGTTCAATCATGCTAACGTACTGACGGCAGCAAGTTATCGACTGCGCATCCCCGAGTATGGTAGCTTACGAGAGCGTAAAGGCGTAAATACGCCTGATACGCCCTGAAGCCATAGTGGCATGGTGTTCTGAATAAGGGAGCCCAGTTTATCCCAAAAAGCCCACCCTCGCCCTCAACCCTGAAGTCACAAACCTCGAACCCAAACAAGCCCAGGTTTGAGGCATCGCTGGAAGACCTCGGTGCTCAGCTCCTACGCCTACCACCACTACCAAGCTTTTCGGCTTTGTTACAAACTGGCGGCGGTTCGGTGCAGGGTGAGGTCCCCCACTAAGGCCTTTTTGGGTTTGGCCCTACTAAGGTTTTCATAAGTTTGGGTTGTGCAACGCCTTTCTGGTGGCTTTGGGGTTTGAAAGCAACTTAAACTTAAACCGTGCAAACCCTGTAAATCCTAAACTCCAAACCCTCAGCGGCATAATCCTAAACACGAAACGCTACATATGCCAAAAACATACTTACTTAAAAAAGTCCTAAGCCTGCACGCCCCAAATCCGCCACGAGGCAACCCCTCTCATGTGCAGCGTCATCACCGGATCCTTCGAGGTGGGGAAATCCCAACGCCGAGGGGTATAGCTGCCATGTGTCTCGCGCCTGAGTGCACTAGGCCGTTCTTGAAGAGATTGTCTTATTCAAACAGCCGCCATCCTTTGTATCAATAGGCTTCCGAAAGGAGCCCAGTATTGGGGTCATAGTAAAGGTTACGGCAGGGTTTCGGGCGTACATGTGTTGACTTGGAGTTTTGGGCTGGGAGGGTGTAAGGTGCTGCAGGCTTTAGGGCATTGAGTTTAGGAGCGACGAGTCAGGATGCAAAATCAAAAGTTTAGTTTAGTTGCCAAGGTTCAGGGACGAGGTGCTAGACAGACAAGACCAGCAACAAGGACGGCCATGCCGTGGAATTTCAGTTTTGAACTCCCGGAACCTTCACCCATAAGTCTTAGACCCAGAAGCCATCCCTTTTGCCGGGCAGGCCACTGCAACCCTCCTAGGCGCCGGGGCACGTACGGACTTGCGAAATGCACGTGGGCTGACAGCAGAGGCGCCCTGCGTATTGGGGGGGCCCTTCGGGCTGGGGCTTTGGAGGCCTAGGATTGACGGGTTTATGTGGGAGTTTACATTCGGCTTTTGGCATGGATGAAGGCGTAAGGGTTCAGAATTTTAAGGGCTTTCCGGTTTGGTTCGGGTTAGGGTTGACGAATTTACGGGGCCTGGTTTGGTCGGCTCGGGAGGGGTTCAGTGGGTTGGCCTCGACAGTCAACCGAGGCTTACTTTCATAAAGTTTTTTGGGCTTAAACTGGCGAATTATATGACATCTGATCAAAGGTACAGTGCGAAATACCCTTCGACTAAAGGTTATCCCGTAGGCTACATGTATGGAGGGAGCCGGAATTGGCAATGTCTCTTGCTTGACTGCTGGCTGTTGGGATCCCTCTAGAACTGCTCTCGCGGGGAGGGACCCAAGGTCCTGCAAAACCCTGTGAAAACCCTCAAACGTCCAGTCAAGTTAGGGCCTGAGCCAGAATGCCGCAAAAATCTTCTACCCTGAGCCCAGACCCTATAAACCCCTACTGCAGGAGCTGGCGCGTGAGACCAGCGCTCCCGACTACATCATACGGGCCTTGCAGGGCCACGGGGATGCGCGCGAGAAACTCGTGAAGGCCCTGCCCCAAGCTTGTCTTGACTCTAGGTCCTAACGCCCTACAACCAGGATTTCGAAACCTTTCGCTGTAGCTGACTGTAGCTCAGGGCCTAAGATTTTCCGATGATTTAGTGAGTTCGTTGGTCAGTTATCATATCCCTTTCAGGTCAGGCCACTGAACCTGGACTTCAGGGTCTGAGGAGAGGCTTCAGAACTATTCCTGGGATGGCCGATGCCGGAAAGCTTAAATGCTGAATCTCGAGGTATAAAGTCTCGGTGCGTGTACACAGGGCTCGAGTTTCGGGAAATGGGTAGTTGTCAAAATTGTTGCCCCTTTTTGGTACCCTCTAAATATGAGGTGCCGTAGTATCATAAGGACCCACAAAGGGACCAGAATCTTGACAACCGCCCATATGAGTCTGAGCGTTGAGAGTTTCGCTTCGGGGCTTCGGGTTCAAGGCCTTGCTAGGTTCAGGGTTGAGACCTTGAGACACGGGTCTTTGGGTTAGCAAACAGAGGTCTCCAGGGTGCCGATAGCCCAAAACCGGCGTCCCCCACCAAGAGTCAGAGCCCAAGGTTCAATGTCAAGAGATGTTTAAGGGTTCGGGATTTAAGGGGTTAGAGAAATACCGGTTTGGGAGGGGGGGGGGTCTCGGGTTCAGAGGGCTTGGGATTAGAGAAGGTCACCGTGTGAGAGCTTGGCCGAAGCAGCTAGCAGAATTATCCTGTTACGCACCTGGGTCACCTGGATTCCCCGATGCCGAACTTTTGTTACCTTGTTTTGTGTTACTAAGTTGGTCTGATTGTGGAAGTTTTCCTTGGGTAGAGCAAAGTTGCTGCTCCTATAATGCTTAGACTGCCTAGACTACGAAGAGCATGTCCAAGTGTTCATCGCAGCTTGATTTGTCGTTTAAGATGTTAAAAGGAGTGAAACCCTCAAGAGCCAACAAAACTGAAACCATCACTACGGAGGACTCAGCAAGATCCGAAGTCTGATGCCCTCAGCCTTGGCTTAGCGATGCCGCCCGCAAGGATGTGAAGAAGCTTGCGAAGCTGGAGGTGATAGATCCTGAAGAGGACCTTGCATTCATCAGCAGCGAGTTAATTTGAAATAGTCCGGATTTCTGAAAGATTTCTGAAAATTTGCTTCCCGGAATGTTTGGTCCCGGGGTCACGGCACTCCAGGGCTCTCGGATTTCGGGGTGTTACGGACGAAACCAAAGTTCCCAGATATCGGCTTTTCTCGGCTCTTGGCCGTTTTTTTTGGGTCGTGATGCTCCCGAATAGCCGGGAGTTTCCGCGACTTCTATCGCACCTGACCTCTGAGGGTGTCGATGCCCCTTGCGCGAAGCGCAGGGGTGTGCTCCAGCATTTAGCTGCTATGTATGAAGGCACGAACCAGGGCCAACAATGGTCTAGCGCCCGACTGGATTACCAGTGGGTGCTGGGTATTGCTCGGTGCAGGATGTCCACGACGTGACTGCGGTGCCAAGTTCAAGCGGGGATTGTTCCAAGCCCTCAGTGCCAAAGTCATCAAGCCGACCAAGAGTATATTGGAAGAGAGTGATGCATGGAACAACTCCGCCAAGTACTGGGTTTTGTCACGGAACTCAATCCAACCTAGGCGCCATAGTCTTTGCATCTCACTATATCACTACTTCGTGGCCCTGCGATGCTAGCTTACAGCCGAACCCTCGACCGCAAGCGCCCGAAGATTTCCGTAACAAGCACCCCAAGTAGCAGCTCCGACGATTGCTCGCAAGCTGCGAGAGCAGCAAAGAGCTGAAATCCCGAGCACACACCTTTCAAGGCATAAAGACAAGAATTTACCAGAGGGTTTTGGGATTTTGTTAGACTTTAGATATACAAATAATAAGGAACCCCCAGGAATAGTAAAGATTTATCTTTTGGTGTTTCCGATCTAAGGCCGCAGGCCTTGGAGTTTAGTGTTTAGGGTTGAGGTTCTAGGGCTTGCAAGGGTTCAGGGTTCGGGCTTCGGGTCGTCCAGGGTCCTTCAGATTCTGAAGCCCACTGCCCCAAAGTCCTGGAGGCTAAGGCCAGGAAATCTTACAGTGAAGATCCCGGGCTGAAGATCAACAACCCAAAGCAAGCCTTATCTGGAGCCGAAAAGCCGTACCAGTACTTTCTCGAGTGGCCTTCAGAGAACGTACAAGGAACTCATAGTACGGAGCCCGAAAGCAGGCTGACGGTGTAAGTTGCTTTGGGGTTCGCATAAGCTCTGAAAGGTATGCGACGTTCATTATTCTCATAGACCCCTGACCGCCTCGGCTGGCAAACGCCCAGGGTTGACGAAACCCTGGGCGAACGAAGCTCGTGGGCAAGAAACCTCCGCCGTTGAACGGTTTGGGCTTTCTGACTAGGTCAGAAGGTTGAGGCCCAGTGTGCATCGAGCCACGGCCGAAAGTTGCAGTGTCAGTGGCGAAAAGGGCGCTCGTCTTTTCTTCTTCTTTCTCAAACAGCTTGTGCATAGTGTAGTATTCTACACGACAGCTGTTGGAACACGGACCTTGCTAGTGGCATTGCTTGTGACGCTCGTTTCCAGCGCTGTTGCTAGGGAAGCTACCGACGCAAGCGCTACAGTCCAAGCGTCTTTGCCATTCCGGTTCAAGCATTAAACCAAATCTAAGCATAACCACCTCAAAGCTCTAAACTCCTTTCTCCCGAAACTTCTTAAACCCTACAGCCTCAATGGTTTAAGATAATTTTCCTAACCCTAAACCCCATAAGCCCTAAACCCAAAGCCCTAAGCCGAACAGGTTCCAAGACGTCTACATGACGGGTCGGAAGTTGGGCGAAGGCAGCTTCGGAGCTCGGGGCCCAGAGGCTTACTGGGCTCTCTTACTTACCTTTGGTTAGTAGGGAATGGAAGGGGCCTTATAAGGGATCTATAAGGGTACTATAATATATATGGGCCTGAATAACTAACCTTTGGTTAGTAGGGAATGGAAGAATTGTAGTAATAGTAGCTATGATTGCACCCCATTCCTCCATTTCCTTCAAACCAAAGGCAAGCTTAGGAGTTGACTTTAGGCTACCATAATCAGGAACAGGAAACTCATAAGTCATAAGGGTTCCTTCAAGGGATCTATAAGGGCACGAGATCCTTTAAGGGATCTAGGGATTTGTTTTAAGTCACCATACTAAGGAAACCACATGATTTACTATAGATCCCTATTATGGCAATTTAAATTGACTCCTTACCAAGAACCCAGTTTAACGCCTTCTAAAGTCCATCAGGGGGATCCATGGGAAGCAGGGTTATGGGTTTAGGGTTCAGGGATTAAGGGGTTTAGGGCTTTCGGGTGTAGGACACTATGAAGCCCAAAGCTCCCAAAGCCTGAACCCGACAGATCCTAAGCCCCAAGGATCCAAAACCCTAAAGCCTACATGTTTTTGAGAAGGTTCATGCATGAGTCTGAGACACAGCCTTGCGCATTACAGTCACGGCAGCGCGAGGCTCCGGAAGTCATGTTGAGCTCACATGTTCTCCCTCAAGCTGCAACGATGGTGTTGATGCCAAGACGTAGAAGATTGGCAAAGATCATAAGGTGAAGGTGTAACACACTCTCGCACCCTCTCTCTCACACACACACACATATTCATGCTCGAATAGAGACAAGCGCATGCGCTCCTGAATGAGGGTCGAGCAGAAACCATGGCAGCCCAGCTAACTCGGAATATCCTCAAAGGTCAGCCGATCTTTGAGGGTTGTGATTTGTGATTTGAGGGTTCTGACGAGTTGGAGAAAAAGTAGCGGAAGCTTGCACGTGTCATTCACCCTGATAAGTGCGGTGTCGATGGTGCAACAGAAGTGTTTCAGGCGTTGCTCAGCTTGTACGAGCAGAACGTACGAAAACCGCGAGTTCATGAAGACACGCTGGAGGAGCTTCTGATCCGACAGCGGGATGCCGAAGAGGTGTCTGAGGTCCGGCAAGCTCTTCGCAGAGAGCGGCCCTTACAAGAAGCGGCGCCAAGAGCCTCGGAGCGGATGGAGCACAGAGCCTTACGGGAAAAGGCTGGAAGCGCTCTGAAAAAGCAGAAGGTGCGAGACAAAAAACGAGAAAAACAAGAATCCAAAGCGGTTTGGCGTGCTGTAAAGGAGGCGAAAGCAACATCGCCCAAAGCAGAACGGAAAAAGATCAGAGGAGTTGGAAAGGACACGGAGGTCATCGCGCCTGAAGTGATTGTGCCTTTGGGCGAGCGGGCCGTGGAAGCGGTGGTGTCCAGAACTTAGCGCAGCGGCTTGGCCAATGAATTCGACATGCTCCAGTCCTCCCCGCAGCGAGCGCAATCAACGAACGATGAGCCTCCTTTCGACGTTGTCATGCAGCAGGCAGGGGACAACTGGTGGTGGCCCTGGATCAGCGATATGTTCCGGGGTTATTGCTCCTGCTGCCGCTAAACCGCCTCGGGGGTTTCACCAAGGGGTGACGGCGCTGAATATGGGTTGCACTTTCGCCTACAAAGGAAAGAGCAAGGGTCTCTTGGAGCGCACACATGTTTTGGAGTCCCCGGTGCCAGGCAAGTATTTTGCATACCCTTTGCGAGCAGCACAAACTGAGCCCTTTCTCTATATTATGACGTGCCAGGGGTTTGCCCCAATTTCCGAGGGGGTCTACATATAAAGCTTAAAGCTCCCAAGCCTAAGCCCTTCAGACCCTAAACCCCAAGGATTCTAAACCCGAAACCCTAAGTCCATGAAAAGCTCCAGAAGGGCCCATAGAGCAGAAATCCCCCAAACACTGAACCGTAGACCTTAAGGCCTGTAAGCCCCAAAATGTAGGCACTGCCAAGGCCGTTTACGAGGTTGCGCACCGCTCCAACGAGAGCACGATCCGGGTCTGCAAGGCCTGGAGCTTCTGTTGGCGGAGATTCCGCAACTTGTGCCTTGTTGAGCGGGCGGGCCTGCAGAATAAGGCTCATACAATATCCACTGTAATAGTAGAGTCGAAGATAGGGTCGGGGGGAAAGGTTCAGGGATGTTCTTCGCCAGCGAGCTCTCCTGCTGCAAGCCCAAAACCCTAAACCCCAAAACTCTGCAGTAAAAGTTTTCTAGACCATTGCACTGCGGTGAGACATGTGCGAGGATTGAATGAATTTTGGTATGCAGGGGAAGTCTCAGCATCAGCCCTAAAATCTCAAAGCGCAGGGTAGGCGGAAGAGGACGAAGCTTAGTATGTGATGTGCCGGTTTTGGAAATTGTCCCTTGCGGAACTTAGGTGGCTTAAATTACACTCTTAGACTTCTGGCGAGTGTAGCGAGATGTAGTATCGGGTTGAGGGTTTGTGCCTTTCCGGTGCAGGGCTTGTATGCGTCGGAACTAGAGTCTAGACGGACCGCCCTTGAGGTCATCCAGAAGTCTAGCGCAGACAAGGCGCCGGGAGAATGAGCAGAGTCATCAAACTCGCCTCAACATATGGGGTTTTTGCAAGGCAACAGGCTGCAGTGTTTGTTTGTGTAGGCAAGGTTATTCTGGTTTGGAGCATTGATAGTTTATAGGGCATGTAGGATTGAGGAGTTAGGGTTCAGAGGCCCGGGTTCAGGGTTTAGGGTTTTTGGGGTTTGGAGTTGAGGGCATAGGGTGCTTCAGGTCTCGTGGGGAGTCTAGAGGGTCCTCCTGCCTGTTATTTCTACGGTCTTAGGCCCGAGTTTTACGAGGGTGTCTGCCCAGAACCTAAAAGGTCAATTTTCCAAATTTCGACCCTGATGCCCAGAATTTGCTGGATGATTTTCAAGGGCGAGTCCTGCACCTTGGGCCCCTTAACCAGCAATCCCAGCATCAGTCTCCCAGAGCATCTTCGAAGTTGAAGCCGTGATAGTTGTGAAGCCCAAACCCCGCACGAAGCCTGTAATCCTGGCAGAAATATGTTCTGCCCAGCCCTGCAAAAGTCCCCAGCCCTACATCCTCAACCCGGCGAGTGTTCTAAGATTTGTCATTATCCTTTCATGATGCCAGAAGCCGCTTTGATCTGCATCGTGGTCTTGTGTGGGAGGTACAACAGCCCTTCTAAGGACCTGCGAACGTGCTGCCGAACCTATACATCCGTAGATGTCCGTGAGAAAATCGCATGGATGCCGTGACAGCAACCGCAATCTGGAATCCTCCTCCATCCGCTGTAATCACCATCGTAGATCAGAGATCCGATTTTAGCTGATGTTGCGAGGCGAAGACCTCGCACCAGCGCGTTCGTGAGGAGTTTGCTGCCGTGGGCTGAGGTGGTTTGAAGAGTGCTTTGGCTCAGTTTCTCGAACACAGGCCGCAAAGGCATGCGAAAAATGCTGTTCCAAAAGCTTCATGCAGATGCTTCAGAAATGTAGTCGGAAGCGAGACCAACATCGCTTGGAATTCGTATGAGCTGCGCTGATCCGCTCGAGGTCCTCAAGCGCTTGGATCATCCCCACGTCGTGCGCCAGGGGCATCCGCCACGGTGAAGCTGTGGGTGCGGCCGTACGGCTAAAGGTTGTAGAGTGTAGTGTATGTGGCGGTTGTGCTTCATCCAACGAGATGTACTTGTAGACCCAACAGCCCAAAGCTAGACCTGAAAACGAACCATCGTACGTCCAAAACCGTGAAATGAAGAGTTTAGGGAGTCATGGGGCGGGTGCTGACTAACACCACAACCTACATTGATTTCACTTGCAGACCACAAGCCGCAAGTCCGGATGCCCTTTGCTCATAGCACAAGTTGCTTCAAGCGCAGGTACGGATCTTCGAAGATTTCGAGGACGAGAGGACCCTCGGCAATTGCTTTTCGGGTGTGTGTGTGTGTGTATATATAGGTGCTGCGATTTTATGTTAAGACTTGTTTTCGCTATGGGTGTTTTCGTTATGGGATCGGTCGTTGAGGGGCTGGAAAGATGTAGAGCGCGAGCATCTTGTTTGGGCTTTAGAGTTTCTGCTTGTGAGGTGTGAGGAGTGTGAGGTGTAATTTGGGCTTGCATGGCCCTGGGCTCAGGGAACTGAAGCCGTGCGCCCGCCTTAAACGCCAAGACCCCATGCCCTGCAGCAGCAAGGTCCAGGAGCCTAGATCCGCCCTGGACCCCCAAAGGCTGAACTCCTCAGCCGTAAACCCTCGACCCCGAAGACTTGCCTTTAGAGGTCTGAAGAGCTATGGTGGCTAAGCAGAGTATCTGTAGAATCGTGGACAGGCAAATTATTCAGGCTCCACACCCCCTTGTAGCCCTACGTCCCATAAATCTGCAACCAGGGGGCAGCGTGGATGTAGGGTTTCGGATTTATGGGGGTCAGTTTTCGGAGCTTGCGGTGTAGTAGTTTGGCTTTTCGGGGAGCCCCGCAGTCCTTACACTAGTACCATGGGCCATATAGAGGTCGGAATGAGCAGTTGTCCCTAATAACTAATTAACCCTAGCAAGAAGAAGATACCCCAAGAAGGCTGCTTTGCTGATTCAGGCTTACAGTAATGGCCAGGTTTATGGGAGGCTTACACACTCTTATTTGCCTAGTCTTTTTGGCGCATGCTTCGTGAATCAAGGACCCCCCGAAAAACTGAATCCGCGAAAGAGTAGCCAAGCCCGGAACAATCAATCTTCAAACTTTACGGAGCCCCTAATTGAGCACTCAAACACTATGTAAGTTTGAGGATGACGGAACTCTAACCTGAGTTCTAAAGAACCCCTAAATCCTGACACATAAGCCTTGAAGTCCACGCCCTGACGAGCGCTCTAGCGCCCAAAGAACCGCAGCTGTTCCCGACCCTTGTGAACGCAAGACCCAAAAAGTTGGAGACATCATTTCCCTCATACCCTTACGGCAAAATACTTACAGGCAAAGACACGGACTCACCATCCTCCAATTCTCCGAATGTCTGAATCTTGAAGGATTCACCCGATTATATAAACCCCTGAACGGAAAAACGCAGGGGGGTTGTGAGTTTCAGAGCATAATGAACTCTATTGCAAATACCACCCAAAGCGAACCCCGAACCCCTGGCCTAGGTGGTTTTACCCCCGAACTCCCCCTCCCCCCAGGCGCTTTTACCCCCGAACCCTAAACCCTAACCCCCGAACCGCCCCCCCGCCCTCCCCCCAGGTGTTTTTACCTGGTGATGGAGCCCTGTCGAGGGGGAGACCTCCTGGACACGCAATCCTCCTGGGCTGATGGGTGGAAGTGTCTTTTGGGGTGTTTAGGGTTTAGGGTTTAGAGTTTAGGGTTTAGGGTCTTCTTTACAAAAGATTTTACGGGCCTTCTGTCAGGCTAGACAGGGTTTTAATATCAGTGATTTTGCTGATACTTGTTGTGGCTTTGTGGGGTCTTGTAAGGGTGTCAACAAGGGCTCTGTCGGGCGGAAATTTTCCTCAATGGTCCATATGCATTTCTGAACATGTACTCACAAAATTGTTTGTTCGTCCCTGCCTCCACCCCCCACACCCGCCCCGCACCACCACCACCACCACCACCACCGCCGCCGCCACCACCACCACCACCACCACCACCACCACCACCACCACCACCACCACCACCACCACCACCACCACCACCACCGCAGATGCAGATGGTTTAAGTTTAGCAGAGGAAGCTCGGCTGATCATCATGCTGCCGCTGATGCCGCTGCTACTGCTGCTGCTTCTGCTGCCGCTGACGATGATCATGATGTCAATTATGATACTGGTGATGGTGGCTGTGACGGCCACTACAATGTCGGTAATGAAAATCTCAGGAGGATCTCTCATGCAGTTTGGTGTGCAGCTTGGCTCACAGGGAAAAGAACAAATCTTGGTCCATGATGCTAGACTGTCATCCTTCAGCACTTCACACTTCAGCTTACAAGTCTACTTACCACCACATGCCTTAGGCATGTCATCAGGGCTCCCTGGCCTGGTGTTTTCCCTTGGACAAGTAGTTCGATGCCGACCATGCCGCCTGTGAAGGGAGGCCGACGGGGCCAACGATGCGCCACCGCCCCGGCAATACTGCAATGCAGCTTGATGCGTGTACTCTTGCACTTAGCGATTAGTGCTACGTTGAGGCGAGAAAGCTATCAACAATACTACTAGTATCCCCATCCGCACGTACTGCGGACGACTACCGCTGCTGCTACTGCTGGAGCTAGTGCTACTGCTACCGCTGCCGCTTCTTGCCCAATATGCCAGCCACCACCACTATAACTCCTACTCCTGCTGCCTGTCACCCGCTACGTATTACTCTACCTACCATTCGTTTCTCGACTCCCAAGCTGCAACCCTCCCAGGGCCCCAAGCCCCGAAGCCTCCCGAAGCCCACAGGGTGGCGCAGATTTGGTGCTCTAGTGCCGGTACTCTTCCTGGTGGTTTGCCCAATGTAGAAGCTTACAATAACCTCTATAATCATGCTGTAAAAATACACCGAACCCTCGGGCCGCTGTATTACTGTATTACCCCTTCAACGTCAGTGTAGGCCCTGAACCCAAGCCCTTCACCGTAAAAACCTGAGTTCAAACCCAGATCTCACCTGCGGAAGCCTCATAAGGTACCAACAATTGCCAGAAGCGCCTGATTGTAAACGCAGAGCACGTATGAGAACTGAAGTCCCTGAACCCAAGCCCCCTAAACCCTACAACCCTGCATAAACCTTAATCCCTAAACTAAGCCCTGACCCCTGTAGACCCTAAACCCCGAACTCTCCCCCCCACTATGTGCCCGGGCCCTCATTGAGGCCCTGGCCCTGCTCTCCCTCGTGCTGATCCTCTGCCTCAGCGTTTTCCGTCCCTTGGCCGACCTCCTGAGGGGTTTTAGGGTTTTGGGGGGTTTGGGGTTCAGGGTTTGGGGTTTCAGGGGTTTGAGGGGTTTAGGGGGTTTAGGGTTCAGAGGGCCTCAGAGGGCCTATATAGGGTTTAGGGTCAGGGTTTGGAGAGCAGGCTGGTCCAGTAGTTTTAGCATGGCAATTAGATTCCCCTTACAATCCCTAAAGGCTCGTACAACTTTTACAGCCCTAAAGCCCATAAGTCTACACCCTAAACCCGCAGACCCCTTTCCCAATACACTGACAGTCAGAAGCCCTGCTGCCCTAACCCAAACCGCACAACTCTACGAGACCGCTTCCGATTCTCCCGCTAGAGGTGGCTCCGGCACCTTCGTGAGCAAGCCGCAGGTCACCCCCAGGCCCCAGATTCGGATGTTTTTTTGTATGTTTACGGAAAATGGATACATGTATATCAATATCCGTCTTCACTTAAGAAGAACATGCAAAAGCCTGCCTACATGCCTATACATACATACATAATAAGTTCGCTAGTCGGCTCATGTATTAAAAAGCCGCGTCCCATCTCTGTTCGGGATATCGTTGGAAGGCATCGAGCAGTCCTCTTGAGCCGACTAGGTCGAGAAGTTGAAACGTTCCAAAGTTGAAGGGGTGAGGATTCACAGTTCAGGCTGTAGTTCACTTGCGCCGTTCGAGATCAATGAATTTGATGGCTCAACCGCTAACAGATTATGATGCCTACACACCTTTGTTATCCGCAAGACATTGCACCTAAAGATCTGCAAAAGCCTAAGCCCCAAACGCCCCAAACCAAACCCTCGTGCGATGCTCGGCTATTTGGCGTTTCGCACTTTCTGATTTGAGGGTTCCGGCTTGGGTTTCTCGTTGCTACAGGCATCCGAAGGTCTTCATGCCTGAGCTTCGGCCCTGAGAAGCTCTAGGCATGATCTAAACCGTGTTGAACAGACCCCCTACCCCGAACCCTGAAACCCTCCCACCCTCCGCATCGTAAGCCTTTAACCTGCGCAAGCAGGTTGAGCCCGCGCTCCACTAGCCAGGCAGCACCTTGGCAGGCAAGGAACATAGATTGGACTGAGGGACTTGATCCGGCGGCAAGGGCGCGGGCAGGAGGGCAGTGCAGGGCAAGACTCCCACGAGTTGACCCTTAAAGCTCCAAGACGTGAACGTGGATCTGAACAACCTAAATAAGGCTAAGCCATGTTAAGCCCAAAGCCTCAACCCTGCCTAAGCCAGACCACCAAAACCAGTAAAACCCCAAAAGCCACCCAAAACCCCGAAGCTCCCAAACCCTGAAGCCGAGGGTTTCAGCTTGTCGTGGGGGCCCTTCGACGGGCCTCCAGCCTTTGCTTGGAAGGATGGTAGTAATAGTAGTTGTAGTCGTACCCCATTCCTCCATTCCCGACTAACCGAAGGTAAGTTATAAGGTACTGTATACCGTCTCACGGTGCAGGGTTTAACTGTTGGCGTTTTCGGGTCCAAATGCCTTAATTCCTCAAGCCATGTTCCGACTTTTTGGACTTCACTGCAGGGCGGTAGTGGAGCGACTGTAGCCTTTAACAAGGTTTGCAACTCTGATAAGCTCCACGTGAGAGTTTCAGAAACATGGACTTCACCACAGGCCCGAAACAGTGGGAAGCTTTCATTTTCTGAGGACACCTAAATGCGGCACCTCCAACCGAGAAAATCGGTGCAACCTACAACGCTCTTGTAAAATCCTGTAAACTCCTAAGCCGTAACCCTTTCAAGCTCCACGTAAGGATCTGGCCAAGTTGCTCGGCGGCACCCGGCTTTCCATCTGGCTTGCGGTTAAGGGTTTGGGGCTTAAAGGGTTCTGGTAGAGGCCTTAATGGTTCAGACCCCTGTGCTCCCGAAGCTTCTTGTAAGATACCCAAAAGCCCGGGGGGCGGGGCGGAGCTCAGGGATGGTGCTCAAGGGCGACCTGCTCGCTCCGAGATCGCCGAGATCGCGGAGGCTCGCGGCTCTTTCGACTAGCCTTTTTGAGCTTGTTTAGTGCAGTGCATGCAGCTTAGGGGTTGTTAGGGTTTGCTAGGGTTTGTTTGGAGACTGCAAGAAGTTTCTCAACATCCCAGGTGAAGAACTACACGTCTATTCGATTCAATGTAGATGAATCTGCCCTGCTGAGGTGGGTACTTTGCCCAAAGCGACAGAGGAGTGGCCTCCCGGCCTCAGAGACGTCGGGCTGCGGCGGAAACTATTTGTCTTAGATTTGCCAGGAGCATGGGTTTAAGGGTTTCTATAGGTCCTGGGGATGAGGGATGCTCTGGAGGATTGGAAGGGTTTGGGGTAGGCCTTGTGTTTGATTCGAGGTTTGGAGAGTTTAGGCTTTGGGTTCTTCAGAAAACTTCGGTTCGGGGTTGGAGAGCTCTGAGAGTTCAGACTTGGGGAGGATGGGTTTCCTTGCGAGTTTAGTTTAGACTCGAGGAGGTGTGAATCAGGACTTGGGTTTGGTTCTGAGGGGGGATAGTACTTGCCCATGACGGCATAATGTTGTGCGCTCGACCGAGACACCTGAAGCCGTGTCCAAATCTGACCCCAAAAGCATGTGCGGGGGCCGGACAAGCCCTTGCACTCCCCGACCCGATACAGGGACGGGCTAGGAAAGAAACACTGAAGCCCTGAGCCCGAGAAACTTCAAGCCCGGAACGCCCTAACTAATGCCGAAAGAGCATTGAAGAGCCTACAGCAAGCCCGCGCAAGGCTCTCGTCCCTGCCCAACTGGGTCTGGCGTGGGGTGATCCTGGTGCTGTGCATGTTGTGGGCCACCAATTTTGCGGTCATCAAGGACGGGGCTTCGGAGCCGTGGGGTTTGAGGCCTTTGGGTTTCTGGCATCTTGGGCTTGGGAGCTGAAGGCCTCAGAGGTATAGGGATTCTTCCTGCAATTGTATGGGTTAGAAGCTGCCCCCACCCTGTAATAGTGGTATAATAGGAATATAATAGGGCCCTAATATTATCCTGTATAATCCTTATAGTCACTATTACAGGGTGGATAGGGTTCCATCTCCGTTCTGGCTAATGAACCCCCGAGCCCCGAACGCAGGCCCCCCTGCACACTCCGCTAAGGGCCTCACTTTGCCTACGGTACACCTTGGCCCCTAAACCTTGAAACCACAAAACCCTAAACCCTACATCCTACAAACCCTGCACCCTAAACCCCTAAACCTTTAAACTTAAGCCCTACGTAACTAACCCCAATGGAAACACTAAACTCGTAGTCTTGTGCAGAAACAACACGCAGGAGATCACGGCTCAGCCGGGCGTCACCACGCAGATGCCGCAGCCTCAGGGGGTTCCGGGTTTATTGCTGTTAGGGCTTAGGGTGTGTAGAGGCTTATAGGGTTTTTAGTTTAGAGGTTTGGCGGGATCTGGGAGTGTTCGAAGTGCTTCAAGCTCGAGGGCTTTTCACAGCGTCTTAAGCTTAGGGGTTTAAGGTAGTCGATGTTAATAGGTTTCGTTTCTCTGTGTTTTGGATTGTTGTGCCGCTGACTCCCTAAACAAAAGCGGAACCCTTATTATTATTGTTATTATTATTGTTATTTTCTTCTGATTTTTATTGTCATTATGTACTGTTGTGATGATCACAATTATTACTATATTCTTACTATCACTATCATTACCACTATATCATTACCTTTTGCACAACAAGCCTCCACGAGTGGAGCTCCGAAGCAGCTTGCCGAAGGTACGCCGTCTCGCGCTTCACCGTAGCTGCCGGGCTACTGTCGCCCTGGAAGCCTGCCTAGGGTTTAGGGTTTAGGGTTTAGGGTTTAGGGTTTAGGGTTTAGGGAAACCATAATAAGGAAGGTTATTCAGGGTTACGGTAGGGCAAAAGGGGATTTCCGAAAATAGGGGAACTTTTTGTAGCCTAAATAATAGGATCCTTGTCATAAGGGCCCCAAATAAGGTGCCCTGATTTTCGGAGGCTCCCAAAAAGGATCAGGATGTCCGTCTAGAGGATTGCAGGGTTCAGGCTCCAAGGTGTTAGGGTTTTTAGTAGGGTTTGGGATGTTGAGGGTTTTCTGTTCCTGCAGGGTCGTCGGGTTTGGTTGTTTGCAGTCTCGGGTTTTCCCAGTGAAGGTGTCCACCAGCGCTTTAGGGTGCTTTCCGGATTTGTAGGGCTTCAGGGGCCGACGCACGAACATCTCCATCGGGAGGCTTCCAGGTGCGAGAATCGGAGGGTCTTGGAGTGTTGTCAGAGGTTTTACAATCCCTTTGGTTCTGATTTCATCTTGGCGCGTCTTTGAAGCTGTTAGCACCTTGGCAGACAGGGCTCTTTCGTATTGAAAGGTAGCAAGGCAAGGGCTTATCGTTCAGGGTATCGACATCCCAAGATGGAGGTGCCGAGCTTCAAGAATCGAAGCCCAAGCAACCCCGAAACTCCAGATCTTGAGCGATGAAGCCTCAGGATTCGCTGATAAGTAGGTCTGGCAGAAGCCGCACAGCGATTGCCACCCCACCAGTCCGCTCTGCTCTGTGGATGAATGAAGAGTCTTCGCAAGACGCTCTGCAACCCCAAACCAACAGCCCCGAAAACCCGACGCCCCACAACCCTTAAACAAACCCGAATTCTCTGACCTCAAGCCCTGAAACCCCGCTGCGTCGACTGTCCGAGGATCTCCCAAGCGTCTTCGCCAAAAGTGCTTGCTCGGGCTGTGGAGTGCGGGGCATGGATCGCCTTCGGCTACATCGGCCAGGCCAGACTGAGGAGCTCTGGTCAATTCTGCTGGGGATGTTTATTTTTTGATCTTTTGAACGTGATGGTGGTGATGGTGATCCTTAGGGGTACTAAGAAAAATGTTAATTTTTGGTCATTATAACACCTAAAAAACAGCTAAAAGTACATTTTTGCTAGGGTTCTAAGTTCAGTATAGGATCTTCTTGCTGTCATGATGATGCCATCTCTTGGCCTTGCCTTCGCCCCTCTTTGCAAAAGATGCCTCCAAAAAACAGCAGAGACTCCAGGTCCGAACATGAATGCCCAATTATTCTCGTCCACCAGAAGCCATACATCGTAAGCTCTACATAGACAGTTGGGGCCATACTCTGAGTCCGTGGAGTTTTGGTGCACGGGGTCAAACGCGAAGCCTCTCCCGTTGCTTCATGAGAGGCCGTTGGGCTCATGACCACCACAGCCTCGAAGTCCTGCTTCATCTGCTCCCAAGCTGCTGTTGGTTGTTCACACCGGTCAGGCCACTAGCTCCCTTAAGACCCAACAACAAAGCCCCTATATGTGCCAGCATCCGCGCCCCCCCCCCCCCCCTCCCCCCCCCATGGTAATCCCCCTCCCCCCCCCTGTGGTTCCTGTGGTTCCCCCCCCCCCTGTGGTTCCTCTTGGTTTTCCCCCTCCCTTTTGTGGTTCTTCTGGTTCCTGTCTCCCCCCTCCCCCCCTGTGGTTCCTGTGGTTCCTCCGCGTGGTTGCTGCTGCTTTGTTGTTGCTGCTGTTCTTCTTCTTGTTCTTGTTCTTGTTCTTGTTGTGTGGTCGCCCGGGTCGGGGGGGGGGGGATACCATTGGGGGGGGGGGGGGGGTCGCCACTATCTCTGCGAGCACGGCTACTACTGCTGCTTGTTTGTTGTCTTCCTCCTCTATAGTCCTTACTGCAGTAGTGGTTGTGGGGGTGGGGGGTTAGCGGCGGCAGCGTAGCCGGATCATTTCCCTCAGCCAATAGTTGAAACTACGCGCTCCTAGCCATACAAGACATGTCAGATCATCTGTGGATTGTCAAGGAGATGCGAGGAAGACACTGGACATGCAGGCTAAAAGTCAAGCTCCTGACATTTGGCCCACCCCACCCCCGTAACTTCCCATGAATCCCCATTCCTTATCGGTGCACGAACCCCCCAACCGACGTTCGTGGCCCAAGGCACGCTAAACGTGGTCTTCGTGTCACTGATTGTGGGCGCTGCTTGTTCGCAACCGGTGGGGTCTACGGGGCCTAGGACCTCAAAGTACTTTGAGGGTGCAAGGACGCAGGGCTCCTCCGGCCAGGCATCACAGAGTCCTCAACACGGTGCTGGTTGATGGGCTTCGGGTTTAGTGGTTTTGCTTTCTCAGGGCCGTCGGATTTGCGGAAGCCACCTCTCGGGCACTGAGATCACCAAGAGGAAGTTCGATCCGCAGACGGTGATGGCGGCCGCGCTCGCCGTCACCGGCGCCGCCTGGCAGACTTCGGCCCCCCCCCCACCGACCCTGAGGTTGACACTTTTTTCCTGGGCTTCTTCGACGGTGGTCAGGGCGTTTGGGCACTCATCTCTGAACCAAGAAACTTCGGACCACCGAGCCTCAGAATCTGGGCCCTTCATTAGTAACACTCCCTTCCTTAGGCCCCCAAAGACAGCATGTTACAAAAAACGCCAAACGCAAACGTTTGACAATCCGCTGTGCCCAGGTCGGGTTTTTAGAGTTGGCGGGGTCGCAGCAGTTCGTCATCGGCAGGGCAGCCCAGTGATGCATGTCTGTGGGATCCCAGGAAGCCGAAATTCAGAGTTTGGTGGTCGGGGTTCCCAATTTCGGGTTAGCGGAACAGGAATTGGCGATTTGAGGGCTTCGGGTAGTACGGTTACGGGGTGACGGCAGCTTCGGAATTTCCGGGTTTTGCAGCTTTCGCCGACAATTCTGCGTCCTCACGCTCGTTATGAAACCCCAATGCCTTCCTACAGCCCTAAAGCAGAAAGCCTCTAAGACCCGAAGTTGCACGACCAGCCAACCGTAGACCGTAAACCCCAAACTCCAAACCGATAAACCCCAGCCAAGCCCTACAGCCTACAGCCTAAACCCTAAGCCTAAGCCCTTAAAGCCTGAGCCCTAAATGTCCCAAGTTGGCCACGCGCGCATCTGCAGCTCTGGAAGCCTTCGACCGGCGTGCATGAAACCTCTAAGCCCCCAAACAGCCCCAAACCTAGGGCTTAAACTCTGAAACTCTAGGCCAACTCAACTCCCACAGAAACTGCAGGCCCCAAGCCCCAAAACCTAAGAAACATCTTGTGGACGGATCGGCCCCAGGCGATCTGATCTCCCTCGCCATGCCCATCGGATTCGGCATGGGCCCGGGTCCCAGCTTTGTATTATGGGGTTCGGGCTGAGGGGTTTGAGTGGACGGATGCAGTTGTTCCTTTCCGCAGTTCTTTGGGTGGATTTCGGGGTTTGTGTTGAACTGAGAGGCTACGAATTGAGATCTTAGCTTCGGCTTGTGTCGGGGCATCGACCCTGCGGCTTCAAGCCTTAACCCTGTGTTAGCAACTTGTTGTTTCTAGGTTCTAGGGCTTCAAGCGGTCACGAAGCTTCAGGCAATCTAGACGTGAGTCTCTTCTTTACAGCGAACCTAAAGGGTCTTCCTTTATTGTTTGGCTTTGGGTTCTCTTCGAACCGGGCAAGGGCAGGCCTGGGAGCAGGTGCGGAGGGGACCTGGACAGGGGGTCGCCCGGACCACTGTAATATAAATAATAACAAATATGATTAATAGTCAAAAAGCAATCTGTGATAGTTTGGCATTGGTGTTGCAAGGCAGTTTGACTTGGAATTCGAGTTTAAGCTCTAAGCTGAGGATTCACGCATGCCTTTGAGCTGGAGTCTTCTTGCTGGCTGAAAATCGACCGCGGCTTTTTGAAACGCGTCGCCTCTGATTCAACAGCTGTCACTGATCCCCTACAGCATTGCTTGCCAGGGTTCAAGCTCGGGACTTTTGTTCTCCTGGCAAACTCGTCGCCCTCAATCCTAAATCCCCAACCCAAGACCCAAAACCACAAACCCGGAACTCTAAGCCCCAAACTCCCAACTCCCTGAAACGCCACGCGAACCTCAGGATACATTCGGCTGGAGGAGATCATGGCTGACAACCCCAAGGATGCGCTGCCTGTGACTGCTGCGCGGCTTCAGACAGGTCTACTGTAGGGTCCAGGGGTTGGGGTTTAGGGTATGGTAAGGGTGGAGTAACGTTTAAGCTTTAAAGCCCTAAGCCCCATACCACCCTCGAACTTGCAAAGCCCCACCTCTTGAACCCTGCACAAAAGCTCCCAAGCTGTAAAAGGCCGTGAAGCTTGGCGTCGTGGCAGCTGCCTCCTGGGCTTACTACGTACCACGGCTTTAGTTTTGCTTGGAATTGGGGTCTGAAGGGTTTTTCCAAACGAGCAATAGCGATAACAGTGTTTATCATCCTGATTGTCCCTGTTCTGGTGGCAATCACACTGGTTAACGTCGAGAGAGACCAACAACGATGCAATGACGGCCTTGAACTACATAGTCCCTGCGCTGCGAAAAACCTGCACCCAAGAATCACAGTGTACTGTACAAGCAACACCACATGTGGTAATCAGTAGCAGTAGCAAAACAGAGGATTGCGCTATTGGCAATATTTCTGCTGTTGCTCCTGCTAACCAAAAGCGATTGCTGCTGCTGCTCCTCCTGAACAACAACCAAAACAATTCACTTCAACAGGACTAATTAGTAGTAGCGGCAGATTCCTTTCAGTAGTAACAGTGATGATACAAGTGCAGATTCCCAAAACCTTAAGCCTCAGCCCTACACCCCCTAATTCTTAGCCCACAACAAGCGTTAACCATCAAAATCCCTTTAGAGCCCTTCTGGAAGCCTTGAAGAAACACAACAATCTAATAATTATATGTGTATATATATACACACATACATATAAATGTATATGTATATTATCATAAAGTCCTGAGGCGCTCACCACCGGTTCTCCCGACCTGGAGCCGGTCCTTGCCTCGTCGACGGCGCTGCCCCGCGGCCCCAGAGTAGAGAAGGGACGTCCGTTACGTAGGGTTGAGGGTTTAGGGTTCAAGACAAGGGCTTAGGGTCAGGGAATACGAGGTGCGTGTATTGTTGGGGAGGCATGTAAAGTCTCAGGGTTGAAGTTTAAGGCTTAAGATTCAAGTGTCCCCTGAACAGGCAACTAGGTTAGAGTTCTGGGGTTCAGGTGGAGAACGGGAGGCCCAGAATTTCGTCATTCCGGTGTTGAGGGGCCCAGGGGGCTAAACCCCAAGCTCCAGAATCGAGGGTCTGACCAGCATGGCTGCTCTAGGCCCAAGCCTACTCCCAGGACAGGCATTTTGTATACTGGGCTGGTCACCACTGGCTTGGTCGGATGCCCAGAACGCTCAACATGTTATTACTTCCGCTTCGAGGTCTCAGACTGGGTTTTTGACGAAAGTTGAAAGGCTGGGTCTTTGTAGATGCCTCAGCGCAACGCCGAGGCTGTAGAGACCACCCCATGAATCCAAAATACACACTGCCTGGCGCTTGCACTGTCAGACCCCAGAGTGCTATCGGACTGCTCGGGGGAGAATGAAATGTACTTTTTAAAATTTGCTCACGGTGCGTACTGTAGCATTTGCAGTACTCCTGCGCACGATTTCGACCCCATGTGAGCCTCATGAACGCTGCCCTTTCACGCCCCAAATCCGTTTGCAATTATCACATTCAGACTCAACCGCAAACCGCAAACCTTCAGACAAAACACACCCATCATCGAACAAACATCCCTAAACCGTAAAGTCCATCAAACCCCATCAACAAAAACGGCCCAGCTCTCCTGAAATGCTCGTGGCCTATAAAGCTAAGAAACCGAATGACAACTGCAGTCCCCACCACAGTCACCAACCCCGTGCCACCTAAAAGCATAGCCGCAACAGCCCCAAGCCGAGTTCCGAACCCCATTGCCCCAAACTCTGCAGCGATAACGCAGCGATAACCCTTAACCCTAAACCGAAGTTATACTTCCCTAACCCCTAAACCCCTAAACCCATATGTACCCTAAAGCCCTACTTCTTGGATTCCGCCGACTTTTGAGGCCCTGGTGGTGGAATCTGTAGCCTTCCGTTTCATCGATGCCACCTCGGCGTCAGCCACACGGCGGTCGCGAAAGGGAAGGGGGGGGGGGGGCGGTTTGGGGCCAAGCGTATTGAGTTTAGAGCCTGGGAGGGTAGGGATTTATGGATGAATGAGTGAATGAACCATTCGGGTCTGAAGCTCTAGCAGTTGAAACGGGTTGCAAGGTTTCTATGTGCTTCACAGGTCCTTCTTCATATTCGGGAAGTATATAGTTTAGCTTGTTTGACCTAACCTAACCCCTCGACCGTAAGCCCTCAACTCGCAGAGCTCTGAAGCCATTATCTAGAACGGCCATCTCCTCAGCCCCGGTGCCCCTTCGGTGTACTTATCCGAGTACCTTCAAACGTCAGAGCCCCAAGCCGTCGGGCCCGCTAGTCGAAGGGTTGGAAACCATAAGGGTTTGGGCCGTAGGATGCCAAACTCTAAACCCCCTGGGCCCCAAAGCTTCAGGTGATCTTCACCACGGAGCCCCTTTGGGCAGCAATCTTCGCTGTTTGGCTGCCTCTTGGATGCCTCGAAAACTTAGAGCTCACAACATTGTCCTTTGGGGCCAGTGGGATTTTGAGACCTTGCGTTTAAGGATGGGCTCTAAGCCCGGTTGAAAGTTGAGGGGATCCTTAAGCGCTTTCTCAACCGCTTGTCTGAAACCCGAAAGACCTGAAAGCCCAAAGCCATAAGCCATAAGCCCTAAAGCCAGAAACCCTGAAACCTCAGACCCCCAAATCTCAGATTTTTTGGTCCAGATTTGCCGATATGCTGGTGTGAAGACTATTTCGTGATTAAGGGTACTGAGTGCTGACGAATCGAGGCGCTTGTTTTTGCTTCCGGAGGCCGAAAAGACCTGAAAGTCCTGCAACAGCTAGCTGCTGTTCTAAACCTGTTTGGGGTTTAGGGTTTAGGATTCAGGGCTTGCAGCAAAGCTGCATAGGGTTTGTGCAAGAAGAGTCCTTCTTATTTGTTCGTCGCCCCTGTGTTTTCCGAAAGCGGACCGACCCGTCTCACTTGCATGGAAGCCCTTTATGGTAAATTATAGGGTATCCTACCCTGAAACCATATTCCAACTTTCTGGAGTTCCACTTAAAGCGCGAGCTCCAGGATCAACGAGCCCTTCTCGGCAGTGGATGCCATCGGAACCGTGCTTCTGTTTTAGTGGGTTGGCGGCCTGGGACTTTTAAGAGGCAGCATTGAACAGGTGGGACGGAACGATGAGTAGAGTTGAGGGTTTGGGGTTAGGTCAGCTTTCACTCAATCGTACATGTTTGGAGTCATGCACAGCTTAACACACTGAAGACAACCATAATATTTCACATGGTACATAGAGGCTTTGTGGCAGAGAAGCAGAACGCTGGGAATACTTCTGACGAGTCACATGACAATATGGTCTCCCCCCTCCCTTCATGGTAGCATCCGGTTTGAGCAGTTGAGGCTTTGGGGTTTAGCGGAGCGCTGTGTGTTTGGGTTTGGGGTTCTGTGGTGCATCCTAAACTCTCCCTCAATCTCAACCTGAAGAAACCTGAACTGAATCATACTGAATCCTTTTGCCTGCAGAGCTTTTCTAGCCGGTGAACGCCGTATATACCCCAAACCTTCACACGAACTGTAGATTGTAGATATCTTAGTTGATAAGAACACACTTCTGGACTACAAAGCCGCAACAAAAAGCCACCCTGGAGCCCAATTCGATTGGTCCAGAGACCTGGGGCTCAATTAGGATTTGGTGATCAGGGTTCAGGGTAGTGGGGCTTAGAGGGTGTTTGACTTGGAGTCGCAAGTTTCGCTTCCAAGATCAGCCCGCCCAGGAGGCGCGTTGGTCATCGGCGCCAACGTGATCAAGGACGCTTGAAGCTGGTGTTTCGGGCGGGGGGTGCTCTGTGATGTAGATCCCGCAAGAGAAACAACAGAGAAGTAAAAGGCCCAAAACATGTTGAGACGATGATCTCGGTCATAGGGATACCCTTCGGAACGGGTATCATGGTTAAACGTGTACTGTCAACAAGAGCCATCATGCGACCCTTTTTTCACAACTCACTAAAGCACCATGTCAAGACCCACAATCAATACCTACATAATGGCAGCATGCTTCGTGTAGACCTCCCTATTCAAGAGGGAAAGAGACCCCCCCTTCATTCGCAGAATCCCTGAGAACACTCAGTTCGGAATGGCAGGTGATAGCATACTGCTATAGCCCCTATAAAGATGTACTATGAGCGAGATCCCCAAACCCTATTCCAGTCAGTTAAGACCTCTAAAAAACAAGTTTAAGCAATTACCCATCTTCTTCCTTAAGGCTAGTTCCTTACTGCGCATATACCACGAAACACCCCATGGTCCTAGCTTAGTCGTGACAGACCCAGACAATATGGGAGTTTCCGAGGTATAGGGAACTCTAATATGGTACCCTAAATAGTAGGATCCTTGTTATAGGGACCCCAAAATAAGGTACCCATAATTTGGGAAACTCCCATAATTTCCCTTATGGTTCCTGTAGAGGTACCTATTCATAAATACTTTTCAGAGCCCCAAAACTACAACCCAGATATCTTTGCGTCCTCAGCGTTGCAAGGAGTTGCCAGAGGAGAGCCTCCCTTGGAACACGGCGACGAGAGCGGCGAAGACCGCTGACTGATCTGGCATCGTTCAGAGGGCGGTCCCAATGGTTTTGACTTGGGGCTCTGGGGTTCAGGGTTTTAGGGTCTATAGTCCATAGTAGGTACTTTTGTAGTTTGGGGACTAGGGTTTCGGGGAGCAGGGTCTAGGAGTGGAGACCTTCAGCATTGAGGGATTCGCGGTGAGATTCCCAATGAACCCTAGTCCTTGGACTAGCGCGTTTAGTTTGTAGTCTGGGGCGTTGGGACTAGGGTTTCCAGGACTCTTAGGGAACATCAGGTTTGCGACAGGGAGCTTGCGCCTAGCGCCATCAGGTTTAGCGGAATGATTCGGAAGCTCACAAGCACCCCAAGACCATAGCGCGAGCATGGGAACTAAGGGTCTTGGGAACTTGGGAATTACAACCTCAGCCCCCACATCATTTGCGTTCGCAAATTATAGTATAAAAGCTCAAGTCTCACGGCTAAGTCGGCGAAAGGTTTCTATTACCAAAGATACGTACTGACTTCACGTCTTTTGCTGGGACCGCCACCTCTGGTCGCCAAGCAGCGGCCACAATCCTCCGTTCCACACTCTTGCAAGGGCAGAGTGCTCCTTGTTTAACATGAGGTCCTGTCGCAAAGAAACTGTACAACCGAATAGGCAACCCACACACACACACACACACGCGTGTGTGTGTGTGTGTGTGTGTGTACATCTATAATGCATACATACACATATGTGTATATATGTATATACATATACATATATGTGCTCGTATAGAATGTGTATATATATGAAACATGAACTATATTATCTCGACCGACGTAGATGTCGAATGTAAATGTAAATACATGTGCATGGAAAGTATCCAGGCTGTGCGCCCCCGCGTATGTTCGCGGGTATATCTCGAATCTTCGAGTCTGGCTCCCTGTAAGAACTACGTTTGAATACGTAATGTTAAATAATGTGTAATGTGATACCTGTACTCACAGTATGTACGTGTATATAAATCTGTATATGTGTTTCTTCTGCTTCTGGTCGTGTGCATGTATGCACGTATGGAAGTCTATGTACGTAGCTGTATGGCTGTGTGTGTGTGCGTGCACGCATGTGTCTAGCTAGCCGGTAGGTAGGTAAGTAAGTATGCATGTTTGTGTATGTACGTATGCAGGATGCAAACATGTACCATGCGAGAGCCCGAATCCACAGCAACATGGACAGATTCTGTTTTGAACTAATAGCCCATCCTGGCTCTCACAGCACCATGATCCCAATCTTGTCGGAGGATCAGGAGACTTTGGAGATAACCGCAACCCTAGTTTGACCGAGTTGTGAAAGCCTCCAGAGCTTCCAGTAGTGCGCAAACACGACACCGCAAAGCTTAGGACGTGATGTGTCAGTGCCCGAAACCCTACACCTAAGAGGTGCATCAAAGGCCGAGTTGACAGGGGCTCAGATGTTTGGCGTGCGGAGCACGTGCCACTTCTTCCAGGCCATCCATGCCTCGGTACAGATGTGAGTTGATGATGGTACCGTGATTGCTAGTTAGTATCTTTATCATCATTTTTACCGTTGTTACTTTTCTCATCCTCACTGTGACCCTAGGTTCTGACGTCTAAACGTATGTGGGGTTTAGGGTCTAGAGGTTACGCTCTGGGGTATAAGTCTACGGGCTTGTCGGATCCTTTGCCATTCTTATGATTAGGGCTTCCTTTGGAGCCAATGTGAAAGAGAGAGCCCTGTCCACCCTTTCTTCTGTGGTGTCTCCGGCCCCAGATTCAGATACTCATATGAGCTATCCAGACTCGCTAGCCGCTAGTCCTGTGGTACTTGATGGTACTTGTTATCGCAGGGCGATTCTGACTATAGTCTAAAGGCCTCCGAAACTCCTTTTGTCGTGCTTTGTTCCGGTAAGAGGCTCGTGGTGTATAGGCCCAAAAAACAAGCTCTCAAGCCCGCAACCGAAACCTGATAGCCCTTCTGCAGCCCTGATGCCTTACCGGCGCGACAGTCCTAAGTGCTACGGCCCTCAAGCCTTGCGGCCTTAAGGCCCGAAAGCCCCAAACCTGAAAACCCTAGAGCTCTGAAGGCCAAACTCGGTGCGGAGTGTGTCAGGTTTGCATTAAGAGCTAGGTTGCACCGAAAGGCCCAAAACCCTTGTCCCCAGGCCTTTTGGGTATGGTATGGGGCGCAGTTTTCGGATTCCATAGCTTATCGGTCTTGACTGTTTCGGGCTTCTTGGCTTTGACTTGGCGACTTTGAAAGCGCCAGCACCTGACCGGGCGAGTGGCCCCAGCGGTGTCTCGAGAACTTTTGTCGAGATAATGTTGGGACATGCCGTTGAAGCCAACCGGCTCACACTTGGCATGCAATACCTTGGGGCTTCCGAAAATATTCGAACAGCCTCTGTCCTGGGACTCTGAGACCTCAGCACTACACCTCAAAGTTAACGCCGACGACCCTTGCGACGCGTAGGCATAGGACCAATGCACGCCCTCAATGTTTTTCGTATTTCTCTGAAAGCCTAAACGCAACAGCTCGAAGCCCTAACTCCATAACCCGAGTCCAAAACTTTTAAAATCCCATGCCGTAAGCCTGCTCCATAATTCCCAAGGGAGGGATGTCTTCGGCATACTTGCAGGCGTTCATACACTTAATCGAAGCACTCTTAGTATTGTAGTTAAAGCTTTCCTTCCTCCTCGGGAATAGGACATCGTGCCATTGCAAAGATGTGCTACAGGGGTTCCTACGTGGTTTCTAGGGTTTAGGGTCCTTAGGTTCTAGGATCTGTTTTCTACCGTCCCTACATACAGTCTTTGATACTTGGTTAAGGCTAAAGTTGATGCTCAAGCTTCGTTTTTTGTTACCGGAATCTGCAATTTCCGCTGCACTGTCTTTATCTGCCTAATATTGAGGGGGGTGGGGTGAGCGGACGAGGGAAGTCCAAGACCGGATCGCCGGTGGCGACGGCACTGGCCACGTCTGTGAGGAGCTCTTGCAGGCTGGAGACTCCCAGAGTCTCGGGTATTAGAACCCCGTTGGCCACTTGGAAAGTCGACTACGCCTGCGAGATGCTCTCGCCATGCGAGAAGGGTGTGTCCTGGGTGGTACCACGCTCCAACATTTCGGACGTGGCCTCTACCTCCAGGACATCGGCAGCCTGGAGAACTCTGGCGGAGGTATGGGAGTACGGGAGGGATGTAACGAGAGGCTAGGGAATTCTAGCACATACCGGGTTACAGACACTGGTATAGTTTCAGCACGCAGGCCCAGGAAGTGAGGTGAGCCGAGAGGCGCATGCACGGGCAGAGAGTCGAAACTAACCGTTGTGGCGGTGTTCTCCGCTACCAGAAAACTGATTCCGCTAGGGATGCAATTGGTCCTCATCAATAGGAGGAGAGAACCAGATCAGCAGGCAAGCCCAGGGGTGCGGCGCCTCCTCCAGAAAGTCGACTCCCTGGAGGGAAATCTTCCGGCTTCGCGGCATCATTGCCGCCGGGCAACTGTGCCACCACGGGTTCTGAAATTTCATGTGCATGTTGTATCTTCATTGCCATACCCCTTTAAAAATGACCTATGTTGTGGTAGCTACTAACGGAAAATGATCTTAATAGAAACTTGCAGTGTCGTTTGATAGTGAAAGTTCAACTAAGTGTGCTGAACATTTTGCGGGTTTCAGCATATTTCAGGTGATGCATTGTCAAAAAAGTGAAACCGTCGTGTTCGATATTCATCCTTGAGAGAACCGTAAGTATCAATGTAACGGACAAACATGACAGTGTATGTTTTTGTTCGGTATGTTCAGCCTGATGACATGAGCAGACGAGAGCACAATCTGCGCACAACGTTTTTTGCCATCCAATGATCAAATCCGACAGAACGGTCGGAATAATTTGTAAGAAATTCATACCAGTATCCCGACACAGTAATCTTATAGTGTATACGAATGTGCCCCCGAGCTCTGGCATTCTTATCGAAGCTTTGGTCCTTTGGGTTTGAGGGGATTATTAGCCCCATAGAAAATGGTGCTGTTTTGGGAGACCAGTTTTGGAAGCCCCCGACGCGATCTCTGGCAGGTTCGGTGATCAGCACATAAACTCTCAAAACTAGAACCTTAAACGCTGAACCTTGAACCGGAAAAGGCCTGTACCCGAAAGCCTACTACCCTTTGAGCCCAAAGCCCTGCCTTATACCCTGGAATCTTCAAGCAATGCAGTCGCTCCCAACCCAAGCGGAAATTCCCCAAGCCTAAAGGCCCAAAACCCGAGAACCCCCTCAAACCCTCAACCCTTCAACCCCTTGAAAGTCTCAATAACGACCTGCCCGGATCTGCTTAGCGCTCCGCTTTGGGACGAGCCCAGTCCTGTGGTCTCTGACTGCAACGCGGGGGGTGAACGGTGCAGGCAGCAGTGTTCAGAGGGTTCCAAGATGCATGATTTCAGGGTTCTAAGACTTTTGGGTTTAAGGGCTTCAACTTCAAAATTTTCCATGGAGGTGAAAGGTCTAATTATTTTGCAGCAGCGTCGAGCGTTGTTGTTAACGACAAAATGATGTAAGACTGGTGGAGCATGTTAAGTCTGTTTCCAACTGTTTGTACGGGTTCGCCACCCTGAGCCCAAAATCTTAAACCGCTAAACCTTAAACCGTTGAAACTTTGAGTTCGACGCTCTGAAGTTTTCAACCCCCGAGCCGCCCAAAACCCCAAGCCCAAAGTCGCGGAAGCCGACCTTAAAATTGTAAACCTGCAAGCCCAAGCATAAGGGACTCCCCTTATGGTCGTCGATGTTATACACCAAAATCGATTCCAATTGTTGGGAAAGAAAGGGAAGGCTTGACGCTTGCTTCGTTCAGCGTGTTGCGGTGGGGGAGGGGCTCACTTGTGATGGGCCGGATGCCTAGCAAGCCCTGTGGCGTCCGTAGAGGGCGCGAATCTCAGGGTGCGTGGGCCGGCAAGGAGGGGTTTTTAGGGGCTTGGGGACATATCGGTTTAGCATTGAAGCTGGCAGTTGTTTTTGATACATTTGACGCTGGTTTCCG